ATGGGAGATTTGGAGCACAGCAGCCCTGCTCGCCTTCCCACTTTGCTCAGGAGCCTGTGGAGACAGAGGGGGCCCCCGAAAGGAGTGGCTTCCAGGGTGCAGCAGGGCTCGGAAAGCTACTTGGCACACCGGGTGTTGGTGGGGGGCTGCTGGACAGGGAAGGGCCAACCGCTCCGTGCTACTGGCCCTCCCAATTCACTCTGCAGTTAAAAGGGGGCTTCTGCTAGTGCTACTGGAAGCTTCTTTTAAAAGCCCAAATGTGGATTCATGGGGCAGAGGATGGGAGGCAGCTGGGAAGTGAAGGGGGAAGAAATGGGGGTGAGGCGAGAGAGGATATGAGAGAAAAACAGAAGAGGGCAGGGAGAATCTGAAGCAATTTAAATGTTGCCCCCTCAAAGCTTCCCCAAAAGGAATGCCTCTCTGGGCCAACAAAGTTCTCCTCTTTGACGTCCATTGCTATTTCGTTGTTAGAGCAAGTTGTTGAACGGATATGTTGTGCATCCAGGTGCCGTGATGCTGAGCGTATTGGCTATTCTGAATTCTCCCATGAAATCCAGTTCTACAATTACAAACATGAATTATAATTGATAATAAAGGAAAGGTTACAGATTATTACCTGATTTCCTCACTGATCTGGTGATCAGTGAGGCCTAGAGCACATTTTAATGGGAGAGGAGCCGTCCTGTCCCCCCACCTGCAATGCACACACATCTTTGAACTTGGAGGCATAATTACGCGCATCAGGTGCTTGGCTCTGGAGAGCAGGAGAGATCTCCACCAAGCTCGCACTCTGCAGTCCACTGTGTTCTTCTAGAGGAAGTACTGCAGAGGGGGAGGGAACGGCTGGACTGCTGCTGGATTATGGTGCGAGCTGCTGGCCCCAGCCTCCTTCCTGACCAGACCCCCTGGTGCGCTCCCCTCACCCCATTTCTTCCACCACCAGGCCAATTTACCACCTCAGAGAAGCAGCCAGTGCATTCGTCCAAGGCCAACTGAAAGCGTGGTACAGTCCTAGCATGAAGACTGCATGTCAGCAGAGCTGGGATTCCAGATAATCTCATGTCTCTCCCCATGACAATGACGGGAGCCAGAGGATTGTGCCCAAAGGAACTCACCAATGACAATGAATCTAAATATAGTTTACCACTCAATAAAATCCCTAAGCAATTCCCATTTTGAAGCAGCTGGGGATTCACTGATGTTTCCACCAGAATCTGGCCTGCCTTATTTGGGGACACTGGAAAATACAAACTGTTGATGTGGAGGGTGCTGAATAATAGATTTATTTGTGCACACAAAGAAGTCAATGCATTTTACAGCTGATTTTAAAAGGACAAAGGCATTTCTCTCTCTTGGTACACATCAGCAGCTCTCTGCGCAATAAACTCCACCATCTTGCATATGCTCTCATTTAAAAAATAGTCATATATGAAAATTGCTCATATATACAAATAAATTGGAAAATATCACCTTGGTTTTAAAAAAGGTTTTACATCGTTTACATTTGGATAAGTCCTAAAAACAGAGCACGAAATATGGAAGATGGGCACCAAGAAGAAATAGCTTCTGCAGACAACACACAATCTTTGGTATTACTGGTACTTGTCAGCATTTGGGGTTGGGGTTCCTTAGAACAGGGGTGGGGAACCCATGTCCCTCACATTCTCATCAGCCCAAGGTAGCACGGCCAATAGTCAGGGGTGATGGGACTTGTAGTTCTACACTTGGAGGATGTGAGGTTCTCCACCTTTGCTTTAGATCAGGGGTCTCAAACTCAACTTACCGGGGGGCCACTGGAAGTAGAGTCTGGGTGAGGCTGGGCCGCATCAAGTCTTCCACCACCGCGGTGGTGGTGGGCCGCTCATCCCGCGTCGCTCCCGGAGGCCGGCCAGGCGCCGCCGGTGCTTTGAAGGCCGCAGCCCCCCCCGTGCCCCGCCTGTCCCGGCAATTGGCCCGCGGGCCGCGAGTTTGAGACCCCTGCTTTAGATGAACATCTTCTGAAGCTTTCTCATGCTGGATCAAGGTCATTCATGTCAGCTTTGACTAGCAGGGATGTCAAAGTCACACAGGTCTTTAGCAGCCCTGCCACGAAATAATCTTTTGACTTGGAATACCAGGAAATGTTGCAATCCAATTACATACTTTGCACACTGATTAGGTGGCTACTGTTTATTCGCATCCTTCAGAAACGCAAGTGCTGAAGAACAACATGAGCGAGAGCTACTGAACTTCTCATGTTCTACTTCTGGAATTCTCAGAGGCATCTTGGGAAGCAGGATTCTGGAATTAATAAGCCTATGTCTGCTCTAGCAAGGATCTTGTTACATCCTATATGGCATTGATCTGTTTTGTGTGGCTAACAGCTACAAATCACTGGATCCTCAAGGACTATGCTAGCAGTTTACAATGCAAAGATAATTCTCTTGTGCCCAAGTCAAGTCACTAGGCAATGCTAATGCGCATGCCATCTAGTGTGACTTAACTCTCACTGGAGGATCCCTGGTTTCATCCTGTGGCTGGACTTCCAGGGATAGTCCACCATGTGAAAGCCCCACCTCCTTTTCCTGGCTGGGAATCAGCTTGGGAATTCCAATCCTATACATCTCCAGACTGGCCCACCAGAGATCTCTATCATTACCTTGTGGCCACTGAAATTATATTTTGGAAGGGCCACAGATCAGTGACAGAGGACAAGGACTGCACACAGAAGATCGTGGTTTCCATTACTGACCTCTCCTGGCAGACCTCCAAAAGACCCCTGCCCAAAACAGCCGTTCCCTGGCAATACTAAGCTTGGACCAGGGCTCTAACTACTAAAGGCAGCTTCATGCATTCTTATCTGTAGTGCTGCATTGAAGCCACTGCTCCAGAAAACAAGCCCCTTTGATTACTCACTCTGATCAACTCATTCAAAGTTCTTCAACTGGAAGACAAAGCAGTTTTGCTTACAGAACAGGCAGTCCCTGAGTTACGAATGTCCGAGTTACAAACAGCCCGTACGGACAAATGAACTGCCATAAAGCTTACTGATTTTTTAAAATTACTGGGGAAAATCGTCATCACCAGAGAGAGAGAGAGAGAGAGAGAGAAAGAGAGGAAGCGAAAGAGGACAGAGGGAGGCCTCCAAAGCAGGCCTTCCTGCCCCTCCCATCCAGAGAGGGAAATCTCTCCAGCATTTCCTGCCTGAGAAACGGAGGCCCTGGTAAATTTGGGGAGTGGGTGGGGCAGGAAAGGCTAGAAATATGAACGGTTTTTCCACTTTCACAGGAGTCCTGTGTCCTTGCCCCCACAAATGTGGAAGCCTGACTATAGGTGATCCAACTTACATACAAATTCAACTTAAAGACAACATTTCTATTTTCTCAGGAACGGAACACATTCATAACCTGGGGACTGCCTGCATAAAGCCAGGATCTAAGCCTTTGAAAAGCCATTCCTTTGTTAAAACGTGGTGGGTGTGCTTAAATTCTGAACAATAAAATCCTATATCTATTACTTGAAAAAGCGAATGCAAGTCGCCCAGGAAAGAAAGAATGCGATGCAAGGGCAAAGAATTCACCCACTAAGTAGGTCACAGTGCTTTCCGCCGCTAAGCAAAGCCGGGCTTAGTTCGACGTTCTTGGCAAATCCAGCTGTGGAAGAGGGACTTTCATGTGGACAAAGGACTCAGTCCAATGCAAAAACTAGTCGCTAAAAGAGCTAAAGGGCAGTTGAAGGCACAATCCTGGCTGGGGCATGCTGGGAGTGCAGCCTTTCCTTCTCTCTAAACTTGCGCAGGATTTCAGCCTACAAGTTTCCCATAGAGCGTACACTCAGCATGGATCCGTAGCCAGCCCTGTCAAGATACCTTATTATACATGCATTTTTCAAAACACATTCATACTTCGTGTTTTTTCTAAATGGGTAATGAGATCATATGTACAGAAAGTAATTAGTTTTGGCCGATCGAGGGTTGAATCTTTACAAAGATACATTTTGGAATATTTGGAATAAAGGCTATCCAAGTGGAAATAATTGGTCTGTTACAATTGAATTTCTTGTGGAAAGTTTAATTGGTCATCTTATAATATCTTACACAATCAGCTTGCTTCCTCTCTGAATTCTATTGACAGAATTCTTTTATAAGAATATATTTCTTAGCATTTAAAACATGCTAAAGGATGTAGGGGAGTCTTTAAAAATTTCAGGAGTATTACCTACTATGATGTCAAAAATAAGGACGGTAAGACCTGGTTGGCACATAATACTAATCCATGGTTTATTTAAACCCATGTTTAACTTATGGTTTGTTGTTCTAGCCAGAGTTTGTCCTACACATGATGAAAATAACTGCAGTTTGTTTTCCCGATCCCTGTGTTGTGGGATTCCCTTCCTTGTCTGCTCCCTTTCTGTCTTTCAAATGCCTTTAAGGCTCATGGAGAAAGGCTTCTGTAGCCTAGAGATGCAATCCATGAGAAACCCAAGGCTCTGGGTTCACATGTAATGACAACCCAGAGTTCAGAACCCAACAACAAACCAGGGGTTCTCTCTCATGATTCAATGTTCATGGTGAACATTAGTGCAGCTATGTGCGCACATTACAAATACTCAGAATTCAACAACCCATGTGTTACATAGGTCAGTGCTATGTGCGAAACCAGGGCCAACAGCTACCCGCAGAAAATGCTTCCAATATGTTGCTCACACCCCTTTGCTTCTCATTTCTACAGTCCCAGGTTGCTCACAGCAGTGTGCAAAGCACACCACGGCTCAGGCGTTCACACAATGAATGTCTCACACACCTCTATAAGAGACGGATGAAGCATTCAGGTCAAAGATGAGTGGGGACTGACACCTCCAGTCGCTGGGCCCCCTGCTCTGTCCTCCGGAGGGCATGTGGCTATGAAGCAAACTGGACTGAAGCCCACATCCGACTGGCTTTGAGATGCAAAGGTCCTGCTGATTTGAAAGCAGCTGCGTTGCGCTCTTAACATGTACATAATGATTGGTGCAGAGGAGATATTTATAACGACGAGTCTCTCTTCTTCTTAGAAATCTTTATCCCAGCCTGAAAGCTCATCGGGTGGGACCCCCTGTTCAGGTGGGTATCTGTCAAAGTAGCTGTAATCCATTGGACCGGCAAGCTAAAACAGAATTAAGGGAGAAGCAAGCTTATAGGACAATCTTAGAAGAGGCACTGTGGGTAGAGCAGTGCTGGGCAGTCATCTGAGCGGGACGGTGTAAACTGGAGGCCTGCACTACAGGGGCTGGACCTGACGGCTTTCCGGGCCCCTTTCCACCCCGCTATTCCATGAATCTATGAAAGCCTGACACCTTCCGCCAGAGCCACTGCTCAACCACACCTGCCCATGGGCTTCTCATGGTGTGGTCTGGGGTTTGCCTTAGAAGCTGCCAGCAGTGCACTATGGGAAGGGCGGTTTACCTCCATGCATTTGCCAGGCCCGCAGGTCCTGTGGGGGTGTCCTGACCCCCTCCATTGCCAGTGCCACTTGTCCTACCAACTCCTGCTGTGCTTCTGCCTCTCGCTCTTCTCTGTCTTCCAACTGCACTACCAACATAGATAGAGACTGCAAACTCTGTAGGACACGGATCTGCCTTTTCGTTGGTGCTGCTTGTGCTGTTGGGCTCTGAGATGCTGAGCCAGACAGACACACAGCCTGGCCCAGAAGGGTCTTCTCAGAGCCTCCTTTGAAAAGCCCCTTCCATGGACCAAAGCAATGGAGGGAGACCTGTTCCTTGCAGCTACTGTGGAGACTCCAACACTCATCAGCCCAGGCAAGCATGCCCTGAGAGGACCTGAGTTTAATTTATGTCTGTCTGTATTTATTCATTCATTTGCAGTCCAGCAACTTCTGTTGTCCGCCCAGGGCCTGGCCACTGCTGACTGCTCCATTCATAAAATAGGGTGCCTTCCCAAATAATTTATCAAAGGAATAGGGTGCCGCTGGCTATGCTCTAGGCAAAGGTGGCACATGACAGCAATATCATCACTGCCCCCCCCCTTTCGTTCCGCACAGAACTCAAGGCAGCTTGCATGATCGGGAGAGGCCCTTCTCCGGGAACCCTCCGTGAAAGAAATTAGGAGGGTATGTACTCGGAGGAAGGCTTTCTTTGCGGTGGCGCCCAATCTATGGAATATGCTCCCCAGAGAGGTCCGCCTGGCGCCGTCGTTGTTTTTCGGCGCCAGGTGAAGACCTTTTTATTTAAACGTCATTTTAATTGTTAACAATATTTACTTATTTATCTGGCCGGGGCAACTTCTTTTCTTTTCTTTTATAACTTTTCTAACTCCTTTTATATCGTTTATATTTTTTATTTATTTTATATTATTAATTTTAATTTTATATTGTTATTTTTGTATTGTATTGTATTTTATTGTGTTGTAAGCCGCCCCGAGGCTTCGGCAAGGGGCGGCATAGAAATGTTCTAATAATAATAATAATAATAATAATAATAATAATAATAATAATACTGATCCTCCTCTACCTCTCAGTTTCATCCTCACAGCAACCCTGTGAGGTAGGTTTGGCTGAAAGTGATTGACAGACCCAAAGTCGCCCAGTGAGCTTCATGGTCCAGTGGGGACTAGAAACTGGATCACCCAAGGCCCAGCCTAACCTCTAACTGCCACGCCACCCTGGCCCTCCGAGTATCAGCCACAAAATAGAAATGCCACCCAGCAGTGTCTCCTTCCATGGGTCGTTTTTCTCCCTCTTCCCTTCCAAGCCAATTCCCTTCATTGTCTCTGCCCTCTTTGATCACTTAAATTTACAGTTAAGCTAGCCCTGAAGCCCAGTGCAACTATTCTGATAACCTAAATTTTAAAACACAACTCAGTGACTAACAATGCAGATTCAGTGCAAACTCTTCATCAACGGAACATGCAGTGTTCTATAATGGCTCATTCATTACCTCTCGTTTCAAAGGAGATGTTAGCTTCCTTGCCTTGAGTCCCTCCCAGTTAAAACCATTCAGCCATCTAAAAAGGAATTTTAAGAAAGGCATCATTAGGAATGTATGAAAATTCCATTTTTATCCATAAAACATGCCAAGCTCCAATATTTAAAGCTCCAAACAGCAGCTCTAATCTACTGAAAATAGTCATGAATTCTCAAGCCCAGGCTCACAACCATTTCATTCCTGAATGCCAGTTCAACTTGTGCAAATTGCATAATTTGCAAAATTTTCCTCAATTGACTGAATCAGCTCTACCTCAGTCCATGAGAGTAAGTGGTATAAAGGTAGGGAAATCTGTGCAAAACTCCCGTTTGATGGATGCTGGATTCACATGAATTTATTGCTTGCATAGAGCAATCCATGGTCATAAACACAAATTGGAATCATGAACAAGGTGTACACTGAGATAATGTTTGGACACTACTGGGCATTCGGAACGGTTTGCTCATACCTAGCTAGAACCCTAGAGAAAATATACACCTGTGTGGAAGGGAACTGGATTCCATCAGCCCCCTTCAGTTTTTAGCTCTTAGAACCGGGGTGGGACAACACTTTGTCTCACCAGTGGTGGACTTGGCTGAAGCCAATGGTGGTGGGGCTACCCCAATTCTCCCCCCTCACTGCCATCCTTTTTGCTCCCCCCACCACCATATTCTCTCTACCCATCAAGCTGCAGAGAGTGGGAGACTCCCCTCTTGCTCAAGGGAATTGACCACTTGCATGTTTTAGAAATGAAGCGGCAGGCCTCATAAAAGTAGGCTATGTTCCCAGGGCTGCCCACGTGTTGAGCATTAAACACCAAGGCAGAGTGTTAAAGGGAGATCTTTCTCTATAGGAAATTCCATGTTAATCACTCCTTCTTGCTTTTTCCTTACCTATGCCTCTTAATATCATGGATTCCATTCTTTAGGTTTCCTAATCTTTCAGTAGGGTTTTGTCTGAAAAAGAAGAAACCACACACACACAGCAAAAGTAAAATCAAAATAAACCAACAATAAGCATTTCATCATGCGGATGCTTGATCTTTAGCCAGGTTGCTGACGAGGACTGGGAGTTATTCTCATATAACCCCAGTCCTCTACCAGCTTCACTGGCTTCCCATCGAAGTCTGGGCTCAATTCAAGGTGTTGGTAATTACTTATAAAGCCCTTAATGGCTTGGGACCCGGATATTTGAAGGAACGCCTGCGGCCACATTTGCCCTTCCGCCCCTTGAGATCGGCAGCAGGGGCTGTCCTCCAGGAGCATTCCGTAAAAGATATCAGGAAGCAAAGTACCCGGAGGAGGGCCTTCTCTGCAGTGGCACCCCATCTGTGGAATGCACTCCCCAGAGAGGTCGGCCTGGTGCCGTCGTTATTTGTTTTTTGGCTCCAGGCCAAGACCTTTTTATTCAAACAGTATTTTAATAATCTTTAATATTTATAGTTTTAATTATGCAGCCAGTGTGTTTCCAAGTTTTAATTGTAATTTGTAATTATGTTTGTTTTATTTATTTGTGTTGTGAGCCAAGGTTGTGTAGCAATGGGGACGGCATATAAAAACTTTAAATAAATAAACAAACAAATAAATAATATGATCACTGCTAGCTATTAGCTACCTGATGTAATTCAAGGGGTTGGATGTTACATAGAAACATAGAAACAGAGCGAGTCAGAAGGGGTCTCCCAGGCCATCTAGTCTGACCCCCGGCTCCAGCCGGCTCTGCTCACAACATGCCCACCATGTCGTGAGCCAACACAGTCTAGGACAGGAAGCACCTCCTCGTGTGTAAGCCTACCGATACCAAGCTCTGCCTGTTAGCCTACTGTGCAGTCATTCAGAAAGTAAGGCTGTTGGGGACCTGAAGTAGACCCTTGCACTGAGATGGTAAACTTGTGGTTTGGACAGGGGCCACGGCAATCGCGTAAGTGGGAGACAAGGCTAACAGTGGAGCCAGGTTCGAAGTGGAAGGATGGCTTGCTTAGCCCAGAGAATATTGTCACCTGTCTTCTACACATCCAGGCCATACGTCCCTGTTATCTCTGAGTTTAGGCACAATCCTCACCATGGCTGGGGTTGGAGGAGACAGAAGGGGTTGCCCCTACACATATTGTTGGGAATAGGACCAACACAACTACCTGCCTTTTGGGATTCGCCTTGGTGGGTGGCTGCAGGACGTGTCATGATGACTGCTCTTCAAAATTTACCACGGCATCGCAGGAAGGCAATAGCCTCCCCCAGTTGCTCCAATATGCTGAATGACCATCCGTGGAGCAGTCTCACTGGGGGTGCCATAGGCAAGCTTACCAAGGACAGCAACAGGGCTTTGCTGCTCTTCCCAAGTGATCCATTTGTGGCTCCCCGCGCCCCATGATAGGGTTGGTCTCCTGGGTTCAGACAGCATGGCAAACCATCACGGGTTCAACAACCCTAGAACAAGCCATGGGTTGTCAGGGTGGTGAGCCAACCTGCAGGAAGCAGTTTAGGTTCAGAGGACACAGCAATCGACTGGGCCAAGTGATGGTTTGCCGTGTGGTGCAAACCCAGCCCCCGTCTTTGTCTACGGTTTCTTTTCTTGCATTTATGCAGATTTGTTTGTTTGTTTATTTATTTATTGGATTGCTATCCCACCCGCTTAGCCATGCTTGCTATAATTATAAAATAGATTTTGAGGTGTTTTGGAGAGTGGGGATGTATTTGTAAAAGTGCATTGGTGGCATAAACTGGGTTTAATATTGCTTTTAATTTTTTTTTTAATAAAAGAATTAAAATAAGAACTGAGTTGAAAGGGTGACAGCAAAATGCGGCAAACATTAAGGTTATTTTAAGTATATTAAGTATATACTTAATAAGGTACAGTTAATTAACTATGCTTAAAATGTATATTATTAAAACAATATGCACAAATCACAGGACAGATTTTTAATCACGTTCTTTTTGCTTACTTCTGTGGGAAAATGTGTGCATTCCCCAGCTGAAGCACCAAGAATCAGATGGTGCATGAGCACCCACGGGCTGGGGCCCAACTCTACAACCCTTCACATGACCCAGAGAACAAACGGGGAAGGCCTAAGGGGTCCCATCCTGACTGCAGAGGCGTGGTGCTAGGCTTTGATGGTCCACATGGAATATTAAAATTGCTGCAAGTTTTTAATTAAGTATAAGGTCCGTTCAGGGCACCAAGGTGCTGATTCAATAGATCCAATGCGTCTGAAGTGTGGGAAACAGAACATTAAGAAATGTGGTATTGTGTTATATTCCATGCACCCTTCTGCTGGGAGGCATGAGCTACATTTGGCTTTGCAGTTTTCCCAGTATCGGGTCCCTGTCCTTTCTGGCAGAGTTCGAGGCAGGATTCCTTAAAGGTCTTCCACCCAGGTGCAGAGTGCATAGCTTTAGAGAGTGTGTAGACAGTGTACAGCATCAGCAAGGCTGTTGCACTGTGTGTCCCCAGACCCTGGTGCACAACAGCCACATGCAGCGTGCAGGAGTGGGGTGTGTTAGGAACAACCCTTTAGCGAGGATAACAGGCTCAGCACGTCCGTTTTCAATTCACAGGCAGTGAACACCAATGACCATCCAAGCCTATTATTCACATTTGCAGGACTTGGCCTAAAAACAGTTTATATTCTCCTTCATTGCTAAGTGCTCAGTTTTAACATAGTTGCCTAGCAACTTGCACCAAAGGTTTAAAAGCCACAAAAGAGGCGATTCTGATAGAAAGCAGTGTGGCAGAGGCTTTTGCAACCCACAGAATCCATACAGAGGGTGAAAGTTCCCACAGCATGACAAAGGAGCCTGGATATTTTATTTTAATGCGCAAACCTGCTTGCCATAAAAGGCCCAAAGTGGGGCAAAGCAATCACAGTGCAATAACGATGCATCGTAAAAACACTTGGCAGATGCTCCAGATACTTCTCTAAGGTTAAGTCCCACAGAATGCAGTGGGGTCTACTTCTGAGTAAACACGCATGAGATGGCACTGAATTACCACCACCACCACCAGGGTAACTAATAGTATTTAGTTCACAATAAGTAATAACTATGAAAAGAACCAGTTCAAACTGGAAGGATCTTGCAGAAGCACTTTGCTTCAAAACATAACAACGGATTTGACTGCAACTTAGCAGCTTTGATTTGGAATGCCTTACAGAATGTAACTCTGCTGACGTATTCTTCCCATGTCTCTGAAACATGATTGCCCTTCTCACCTGCAGAGCCGCCGAATCAAATCTTCTGGCCGCTTGGTTATTACTCGGGGAAAATCCAGCCTTTCAACACCTTTTAGAATCAAATTGTAGGTCATCATTTGATCAACCCCGGAAAATGGAGGGCTAGAGTGGATGTCACAATTTTAAGACATGTGGCACAAAGAGAGAGAGAGAAAAGAAGAAACAGTTAACAGGGGAAAGGTTTGGTAACATCAAAGCAGACATTCTATTCTGGCCATAGGCAAAGCCCATACAAAGCACTGGCTGATGAGAACTTATTATGCCAGTCTTCTTTCAGTTGCACTGGCTCCTAGCTGAAGTCTGGGACTGATTCAAAGTGTCAGTATTAACATTTAAAGGCCTAAATGGTCTGGGACTAGGTTATCTGAAAGAATGCCTTACCTACCTACCCAGACCCTAAGGTCATCTTCTGGGGTCCTTCTCTGGGAGCCCCCTCCAAAGGAAGTAAAGAGGGTGGCTACCAGGAGAAGGGCCTGGTACCCTGGCAATTGATTGAGCCGCCCAAAGAGGCATGTCTGGCACCTGTTCTCTATTCCTTATGGTGCCAGGTGAAACCCTTTTTATTCTCCCAAAATGTAAAGGTAAGTTTTTAAATCTTAGTTTTTATACTGCATTTTATTTGTACTGCTGCTATACCGCCACACTGATTTGATTGCAATTGCTGTGATTTTACTGTTTTTTTGTTTCATATGCTGTTTCCCTTCTGTTAACTGCCCAGAGAGCCTTTGGCTATTGGGTGGTGTAAAAATGAAATAAATAAAAACATAAATAAACACAAAGTAACCTGTACCAGGCCAAACGTATTTGTTTATCAAGGCAGAATTTTCTACACCGACTGGCAGTGTCTCTCCAGGGTCTTGGATAGAGGAAGGGCGTTTCACTGTAACTGGAGAGGCCAAGGACGGAACCCAAGAGCTTCTGCATGCCAGCCATTAACTCAGCCACTTCCAATAGAACACTTGTGAAAATGTGATTAAACTAAAGAGGCTTAGTCTTCATTGTCTGACTATGCTGGAAACTGAGAACTTGTGATCCTCCGTATGTTTTGACCTACAACTCCTCTAACCCTCACCAGGGAGGGAAGATGAGAAAGGTAGGCTGAAAAACCTGGGGTTCCATTCCTGGACTGAACTGAGTATGAAACAGGAGTGGTTTTGTATATGAAATTATGGTATAATGAATCAGACAACTGGTCTTTTCTAGCCCAGGACGATCTGTCACAGCAGGCTTGTAGCTCAGACAATGGCTTTTTTCTTAGCTTGGCTACCTCTGAGCCTTCTGACTGGAGAGTCTGGTTTAATTGAATGTGGACTCTTCCTAGAAAGCAGGGTGGGGAAGCTTTTTCCTAGGAAGGGCCACTGCTCCAGGGGAAAAGTCGATCAGGGGTTGCAGCTGATGGCTGGGGCAGTTTGCAGCTTTAGACAGGTCTCTCTCACTTGCTCTGTCTGTCACTCCGTGCCTTCTCTGCCTCATGCATACACGAAGTGGAAGGAGACACTATTTTGAGAAGGACAGTATGGAGAGCAAGAGTGGCTCCACATGGTGGGTTCTACATAACGTGGCTACTTACATACCTCCATAAAAGAGGAAATTCATCATCAAAAAGAGGGCTAACGATGAGGACATCAATCTGCATAACACAGGGTGGACAGCTTGCAGTCCTCTAGATGTTTTGGCCTACACCTCCTCTCATGTTTCACCATTGGGTACGCTGGACATGTTTGATGGAAGCTGTAGGCTAAAATATCCAGAAGGCTGCCAGCTGTCCATGCTTGGCATAACATTTCCTGCCTAATCTTGGAAGCTAAGCAAGTTCAGGCCTGGTCAGAATTGGGATGGGTGACTTGAGTGTATGATTCTATGATCATTGTTGTAAACTGCCCAGAGAGCTTTGGCTATGGGCAGTATAAAAATGTAATAGCAGTAGTAGTAATAATAGTAATATAGATGCAAATTCAGATATAATAACCATAACTTAAATAGAAAATGCAATAAGGAAGAATGATCAGCTGATTGATCATGGATTGATCAGGTGATTCAGCATTGTCCACTCAGTCTGCTGCCCAGTTGTTCACTCTTGATAGGCACTTCAAGGCTATAGTTTCCGCACTGGACTGGGTAGCCTTTCAAATACAGGACATTTACAAATACAGCTGTGTCCTTTGGCAGCTCTTCAAAGAGAGGACTGTCCTCTGCAAATGAGAGCACCCGAGGTCTGCCACTGAGTTATGGTCTTTTCTCAGTAATGAACCATCACTGAAAACCACGCAGACATATAAATAACTCTGTGAAATAAGATATAAACATGGCAAAAGTAGAAAGACACGTACTTTCCTGTAAGTAGTTCATACACAAGGATTCCAAGAGACCAGAAGTCCACACTGAAATCATGGCCTTTGTTAAGAATGACTTCAGGAGCAACATATTCCGGAGTCCCACAGAACGTCCAGGTCTTTTGCCCTGCTCCAATCTTCTTAGCAAACCCAAAATCAACCTTGTGGGAAAGAGAAAAGACTGCTATCAGATACTGAAATATAAAAATAGTTATCCTTCATTCCAGCAACCATTAACAACGTTTACATGGAGATTACTGTGCTTCATCTTCTCTGGATTCATGAAGTCCTTGCCTTGATTACAGGAGTCATACTAGAAATATATAAACCTGAAAAATGAACCCCAGCTGAGCTTTATTCCTTTCATTTCATTATTTAGGATTTTTATATCCTACCTTTCAAACTTGAAAAGTAAAATTCACAAGGCAGTGTCCAAGCTTAAAATGCAATAAAACATCCAAACTTCATTATTAACACATCACTGGGCTCTAGAGACTGGAAGAATAGACCTGAACAGAGCAGCAAACGACATAAAATCTGATAAATACCTCAGCCAAATTCTATCTAGCTAATGAATGAAGTACTGCACACTGCAAATAAATGTTTTTCAGAGGCAAGGCCAGCTTGCCCTTCTTCTCCTTAGTGTCATTTTCTTTCAGGGGAGCTCCCAGCCGTGAACCTACGCCTTCCATGATGTCACTTTCATGTCATTTTCTGAATCGCCTTCTCGTTTATCATCCTAGTTCTTGGCATAAAACAGGACTCAGGTACATCAACAGAAGAAGACGGCTTATACCAAGTCAGTTCATTGATCTATCCATCCCAGTACTGCCTTCAATGAATGCTGGTGGCTCTCCAGGATTACAGAGAAAGGTCTTCTCCAGACTAGGTGAAGATACCAGAGATTGAACACAGATTCTTCTGCATGAGAAAGGTGTGCTTTCCCAGTAAGCTGTAACTCTTCTCCTTATTCTTTCTCAACCCTGGCAGTTCCTGCCTTTGTTCTGCCATGTTTAAGAATGCCACTAACTATGGGAGAATCTTTGTGATGAGTGGACTGAAGGTGGCAATCAGGGTTACATCCTCATTCTGCCTAATGTGAACTATGGGAAAGTTTGTTTCCTACAGTTACTATTCCTTCCATTCCTTGTGCCTCCGAATTGGCAAAAAGGACTCCTTAGGCGGCTGCCAATGTAGCTCTTCTCCACAGCACATCTACACAATTTGCAGGAACATTTTTGTGTATCATGAGATAGAAAAATCAATATTTATTTTATTTATTTATTACAACATTTTTATGCCGCCCCATTTGCCGAAGCCTCGGGGCGGCTTACAACAATGTTAAAAATAAATAACATTAAATTAAAAACATAAATAGTAAAATTAAAAATACAAAAATAACAATATAAAATAAGCCGCCCTGTGGAAGGAAAGAAGACAGATCCTTCCGTTGGGCCGCTGGAACCACCCAGAGAGTCTGGCTGTTGGGCAGTTGATAAATTCATCATTGCCATTGCCTCTTCCTAATCAACAAAGAAAAGTAAGCTTGTCTTCAGTGTATTAAAGGTTAAATGATGGGCACAGCATGGGATGAAAAATTTCTTCTCTCTGAAACATGGTTTTGTTGCCATTGCTGTTATGCACCATCAAGTTATCTCCGACTCATAAAAACCCAATGAATGAATGCTCTTCGAAATGCCCTGCTCTTCACAGCCCTGCCCAGCTCTTGCAAACTCAGGACTATTTAAAAACAACACAACTCTTACCAACTTTATATATCCTTGAGCATCCAAAATTAAATTTTCTGGCTTCAGGTCCCTGTAAATCACATTGATGCAATGCAAATACTCAATAGCTTCTGTCACACACCCGACACAGAACTTTGTTGTGGTTTCATCAAAACTACCTCTGAAAGAAAATAACCATGCTTTATTATTTATTTGATTTATATTACCTATCTCTAAAAAGTTTAAGGAAGCAGAAGATAATGCATAATTAGCAATACCAAAGTCAGTTAATGTTTAAAACATTGTCTGATGTAGAGAATGGCTTTATCGTCCTATAATAAGGCCTTCAAAGTGGAAAATGATTGGATAATGGGTAATTTTAATGATTGGGGATAATGATTGGATAATGATTCAGAGGAGGAGAAGAGACCAGAGATGAGCCAGGCAGTCACTGAGAATCAGAGAATTTCAAGTTTGTAGGGAAGTCTAGTGAGCGCCCTGATATGGGAGGGAGCTAATCTGAAAACACAACCTCAGGTTAAGAGAGAAGGGCAGTTCAGATGTGTCAGATCGTGTCAAGCAGCATGATCCACCCTGAAGATGAAGTCAGCTCTTTTCAGTGTGGAAGGCAGGAAGGATATTCAGTTTGGAATCAGTGCCATATCATTAAGCTGCATTTCCCTAACGGCCAAAATTCTAAATGTGCTCGTTTCCTTTGTAACTGCTTTCAGCAAGACTCTTCTTTTGTACTACCAAGACAGTCCAACTGGTCAGCTTTAATATCATAAAGACCTTTAGTTAGAAGCCTTTTTCTTGATTTGCTTGGAAGGAGGGAGAGAAGTCTGCCTGTGACATTTAAAATATTTTTCCTTTTTATGCTTAGAAGTACACTATATATTATGAAGGAAATCACATTTCTTATCCCAGCAGTTAATTAAATGAAGGAGTTTCTTTTCTATTGTCTCTGCCCTCAGCTTTGCTTCTCTAATCATCTGACTTATACAAACACTGGACCAGTTCACACAATCCCCATGGGTTACACAGGGCATGCACTGGGTGCCATTTTGGGTTGGTGCAGCTTCTCTTACCTGGAGCCAGGCAGCATGGGTGGTGGAAGGGGTAACAATGCTCAAATACCCCTAAGGCCATTGCTGACTTATTTGAAGGTAGTCCCCTCACTCGCAACAAGCCATGCTGCTTGGCTTCAGACAACACAAGTCTGAAGCAGGCAATTATGCGAATGGTGCACTGTGGTTTAAACAAGCCACTGTGGCTTCTTTAGCCCACAGTAAACAGGTCATGACCTCATAAAATATAACAGGTACAAACGGCAGTATCTTTCTAGACTAGATTCCTCCCAGTCTCCTTGGGATATCTATCTCTTTTTGCATTCTCCCTATGCGCTCTACATTCAACCACTGAGGCCATTTCACCAATGAGAAGAAAAATGACCAATCCTATCCCAAAAAGTCTGTTGATATTCCATGCTGCGATTCACTACCCAGTAAGTGGGCCTTATTCGGTGAAATTCAAAGGGGGTTCCATAGCAGATATGGAGAGATCTCAGTTCCATTCACACATGTGCCTCTTGCGAACCGAAACGGCGCCCTTTGTCCCCACACTTCGTATCTGATCAGAGCGGAGTCTAGGACAAGCCTGGTGCAGCCATTAGACTCATTACACAGTTCCTGCTTGGTTCGGAAGCACTTCCAAAGAAGTCTGTCCTCACAGGTGACATTGGCATTATTGCCCTGCCCTGTAAGTTTCTGAACATCCCTTCATTCTTTTTATTCTTCACCAAGAACAGGAAGAGGGGGACTGAAGAGGGACTGGAAAGTTAATAATATTACCTGTCCCTGAGAAGACTCCATAGCTCACCTCCAAGACAGGCTTCCAAGAGCATGTAAACGTATTTGTTGTCTTTGAAGGTGCGGTACAAGCTGAAGCAAAGCGAAAGAAGAATGGAAAGCACAATCCAAACCATTTCAGTTTGTAATGAAATCGATTTAGCATCTACTTCAGTGTTGAAAATGCTTCACATGCATTAGGCCGATCTAATCCTTACAACAGAATCGTAAGATGAGTCAGTATTATTATTCCCCATGTGGTGGAGGTGGAGGCAAGGATGCGGAGGCTGAGAGAAGTGGCTTTCCTGCAGTCACCTAATGAGTCCTTGGTGGAGATGATATCTGACTCCAGGATTTCCAGATTCATGGCACAGTCTCTTCAGCCACTGCAAGAACACCTACCTGCACCTGCACCTGCTACTTTCCAAATAACCCTTTGCTGTTGCACCTGGTAGGAATCCAGAATGGCACATTCAAGATGCAAAGCTGTGTCTTTTCAAGAGGAAGTACATCTTCACTGATAGATTAAGCTCCATCAGGACCTAAAAGTCATTTTCAAAATTCTACCTCTAGGCCCAGGGCTCGCAAAGCCAGTCAGCCAGCTGAGTTGACAACAGAGGAGAGAGTAACAGTGGTACAGCGCTGGTGGAAGCTCACTTCCTGGGGGCAGAAAGCAACCTTTATTCATTTTTGCCTATTTATTTGAAGCACTTATGCCCCACCATTCCCAAAATAGCTTAGAAAAATCAAAAACAGTGAAGACAATGCAAAGCAACTACAGGTAAAATGCAATTGTTGCAAACCACCCACAGAGCTCTGGCTGTGGGGTGATATAGAAGAATTAGTAGTAGATGTAGTAGTGGTAGTAAAAATAATAGCAAGTATATTTAAATATGTAAACAGAAGCCATCCAGCTCCCAGTACCACACTTAAAAATGAATATTGAGTAATTTCATGCTGTATTTTGTGACAAAGTCTGTTTTTGGAGGACAAAAGCAGGGTGTATATTTCTTGGAATTAAGACAACCATCCGCCAAATGACTGTTTTTGAGAAGAGGAAAGTCTTAATCTCGTGGCAGAAGTCAGCGAGAGAGGGGTTCCAACGGCTAGCTGCAGCTTCTCCCACTGGTACCTTCACCAGTGCTGGATCGGAGGGCGTGGAAAATGATGACTGTGGTGCTCCATGTGCGGCAAAGACTTACCACAAGGGCTGTTGCCACTCTGCCTATTTCAATACCTTGACTGATAGTTTTCAGGGTCTAGTAGCCCAGACATCTTATAAAATGACTGGGCTGAGAAGAAATACTGGGCATCAGCCAGCTGTGCCATTCTGTTTGCCCCACTGGCATCGTACTAGTGGAACCCGGATTCCAAACTACGTGCAAGGGGTGCATCTAACAAAAGGTATGGTTGCACAGCCGGTTGTGCTTCCTGTTACACCGCCATGAAGGGCAGCTGCTTGCACCACAAAAGGGTTCCACAGAGCATTGCTGGCATATCTGGGCGTCTGAAAGGACACCATTGTGATACTGCCCTGTAATCTGAAGAGCTTCAATGGGATGATTCCGAGAAGATGCTCTGAAAATGTATTCATGCAGACAAGAAGTGATCACAAAGCACAGCTGTCCATTGCAGGACTGGGGTGGAAACTGGGGTCGTGGTACAGAGGGCAAGCTGGAAAATGATCAACCCACACCTGGACTTCATCATTGTTTTGTTAAAAGCAACATATAAAATGAAAAAAGATTACTTGACAATGAATGGAGAGCAGGCCTCTTCTAGGATTTTCTTCTCAGAATGGATGTGCTCCTGTTGCTTGGTGTCCACTATGTGCTTTTTCTTAATGCACTTCATGGCAAAGGTTACGTTCTCGTTCTTAACTTTCACCTGAGCTCACATACATACACACAGAACATGTCAAAAGAGACGCACAGAAATAAACTCCTTCCCATTCCAAGCTTCCTCAAATTTGCTCAGAGTAAACAGAGTAGAATTACAAACATGGTTTGCAGTGGAAGAAAGGCTTTGGGAAAGGTTCGCGGCCATATAATTTATACTCCGTAATTATCAAGAATTTGAGGGAAAGGCTCTTGCAATGTGCTGAGCTTTATTTAGTTGTTAGGGGTTAGCCACTGTGAGGACTCTGCTTGAATAACTAGTTTGTCACACAAAAATCACCCACGGCTTGAAACACACCTAAACTACAATGGAAAAGAATTAGATGTGGCATGTTTTGTAATACATAGATTATTTCTTTGAAGGGGTATCACTAGCATCCACCTGTCATCCAAACCGTATCTGGCGCCAGCTACTTCACCAAGGTAGAAAGCCGATGGTGATTAGGGAGGGGAATAAGAAACCACCCTCACTATTTACTGTTGGCAAAATCATTTATATACTCAAGAACGTACTTAAAAGTGCTGAAGCCTTAGAAAATGTAATAATACTTGTGCTGACATAGCTCTGTCAAAATATTCACATCAAAAGTGATCGCTGAATGTTTAGAAGGCAAATCCTTACAAGCTCGACTCTTCCAAATCCACCAACACCCAGAGTAGCAACGATTTCCAGGTTCTGAAATGGGCATGTGGAAGGAAACTGGGTTACTTTTTCTTTCAGCTGTATCATCTCCAAAGAGACATCACTGGGGAGTCGCTCCAACGCAGAAACTCTGCATTAAAATAATAAAATATCTTCTTCAGTTCAGTCTCACCAAACAAGCGATGGAGCCTGACCAGAGCAGTCTGACAGACTTTCCAGAAAGCATCTTCTCCCAGCCCACATATAAACATGCGATAAACATGCAATACTACTCTGTGTATGAGCGGCTGGCTCTGAGATATCCTGACTACTCTTCCCACTGCTCTGCTGAACAATGCTCAGGATCTCTGGGAGAAGCTTTAAAAGAGCACGTCCCAGCCTGAAATGTGTTTTACAGAGACGGAACAGATGCGTGCCTGTACTCGCATGCGTGTGTGTGTCCTGGCCAGCCAAAGATCCTAGAAAACACTCCAGAAGTTTCTAGAAGGATCCACAGAGCCAATGCAGCTCCCCAGGGACGGTCTGTTCACCTGACTCTGCGCAGGACAAAGGTAGTCAGGTAGCTGGGCCAGCAGCCTGGACCAGGAGGGGAGCTGTCCAGTAGAATCCAGAGCCAGCATAGCAAAGCTCTGCAAGGAGTTTCCACACTGGGCAACTTCTGGCAGCCAGATGAAGAGGTCCTGTAGCAAACCAGGCTACTTTGCCTCTCGTTGAAGCTCAGCAGGACCCACATCCAGAACAAGGACTAGCACAAGGTGCAGAACTTTAGGCATGGGCCCCCTCTGTCCCTCCAAGCTCCCCGGAAAGCAATGCCCCTCTTCTGCCCTTAGCCCCTGGCCCTTGCGTGGCTGGTTGGCCTATTTTGGGCAGATTTCCCCCCATTCCAAAAGGCTGAAACACCTCCCCTAAGGCTTTAAGTGATGCAAGATGAAATGCACTGGCATTCTGATGATGCCGCTTCGTCTTCGGGCTGGCCCACCCCTGGAATGTGGCCTCTGGGAGAAAATCCCATCTGAAATGGAATCTGGTGCTCAGGAAAGCACTTCTGCATCAGTGCTTGCCTCCTCCCAAGCAGGACTAAGGAGGGGAGGCCTGGAGCTGCCAAGCAGGTACCACGTCTCTGGTGTCAGGCTTTGGCATCCAGCTGTGATCTCCTCCACACCTCTGCCCTGACAGTGAGAGGAGGTTCCTGCCAGGAGCTTTGGATCCTGCAGTGTCATCACCTTCTGGGACGTTTTTTAGGATCTTCAGCTGGTGTTTGGGAAGCGTTCATTCCCTGTAGCCCCTGTCAGAACTGGGGCCCACAGTGCAGCCCTCTTTCCTGCTAGAGGATGCTCCATTTCTCTAAAGCTTCTTGCCTCTGGAGGTCGAGCAGGTGCCAACACCCTGTCATTTTTGGTGCTTCCTGAAAACTCTCGCATTCCAGGAAGACTTCCTAGCCATGGTTCTACTAATGTTGTTTCCAGGGTACTAGTTTAGTGTTTACTGCTCACTGCCCAGAGCATGGAGCGGTTCATGCGTCTGGCAAACAAGATGGGGATGCCACCTCCGACACGGGGGCAGAGGGCTGCTGAAAACTGCACACAGAGCTCTCCCACTGATCAAGGCTGGGCATCTCAGCCTGCATGTATTTACACATGCGACAGTCAGCTTCTCCTGCAGCAAGCAATGCAAAAGGCAGAGTTATTGCTTTTGCAGAAACTGCTGTGTGCACGGACTTGTGTTTGCAAAGCTTCTATTCACACCACAGAAATGACACTGCCCAGAGCAAACTTGCACCAACTTTTATATAATAGGGAGGGGTGGCAAGGAGGGCTTCTTCTGTGTGGGGAGACAGAATTTCTGTATTGTCGGTCATGGAGGAATCATCAAAACAACCTTGATGCTATAGCTGATGCATCTTAGCAGAATACAGCTGCCTGGATTACTCTGCAGTGTTTTCAGTGCCCTTGGAGGTTCCCAGCATGTTACAGCAAGCGGTTAGAATGTGCCTAGAGAATTGCTGTCTTCTAATAGGGGAAAATGAATGCATAGACCCTAACGCCAGTAACAGGAAAAGGAGATTCAAAAGCTTAAATTTAGGAAATTGTGATGGAAACAGACCGATCCTTTCCCAAGGAAGTTTAGAGGTTCCCCCTCCTCCCCAGATGCCCAGATCTTTATGCAGATGAGCTGTGATTCCCACTACAGATCTATTTAAAGCCTTCTTTTAATGACAGCATTTTGTGAGACATCAAATATTGATTGCATTGTCTCTGTTTGGATACCACAGTCTGAAATGGTAATCTGTTTGACCGAAGAGCCATCTGGCTTTCCTGTATCTCTTGGTGTGGCCTATTGTGAGTTTATAGTAATGAAATGGGGGTTGAGGAATTTTTCATCATACTGCCAATATCCCTCAGTCCAAGCATTGATTCTTGTTCTGCTTTACTGGGCATTTGGATGATCAATCAAATTCGAAAGGAAAAGAAAAACAAAGCTCGCAGCAAGTGCGGTCATGTAATGCTAGTAGGAACCGAGATCTTTTATTGAAGCAGTACCGTGGTAAACTCCTTAGGGTGGAATATGATGCCCTTTTCAATAGGAAAAAAGTCCTACAAGTTGTCAGCCTTCTCCTATTTAAACATACAAAGCATTGTGGCCTTATTAATTTCATTAATTATTTTTTATTAATGATTCTCACAGGGATGCTATACATTATGGCAACATGGCTGAAATACTACAGCATAAGCTGAACTGTAACTGTAGATGAAGTGCCTCTTCTGGTATTAATCTGCTGCACGCTATTGCCTTCATCTGAGGTCCTCCTCTAGGTGGTCCCTCTAAGAGAGCTTCAGAAGATGGCAACGAAGGAGATGGGCTTTTTGGTGGTGGCACTCCAGTTATGGAACACCCTCCCCAGTGAGATGCTGACACTGCCATCCTTTGAGCACCATGTTAAGGCTTCTCTGCATTCTTTTCTCTACTCCCAGACAACTGACAAGGTTTTAACTACCCCTGGGATTTTTTTTAAATTGTTGATCGTTTTACATTATTTTGAGTATAAATAGTTTATATCTTATATTGTATTTTTTATTTTTATATACTTAATCCTTTGTAAACTATGAAGAGAGCTTTGGCTATTTTCATGAACATGATATGGAATTAACAACAACAACAAGCCCATTAAACAAAAGAACTCAATTTTTAACCTCTGTGGCTTTTTAAATGTTAACCAAACTCGAGATGGTGCAAAAGTTTGCAAGAACTGGCTGAAAAGTTCTTTAAGTGATAGCAAATTTGGTTACTCATGCAAAAACAAAATAATTTTTGCTGCCATCGGTATCTATTTTTAAATAACGTGCTGTTAGCAATGTAGCAGTGACACCTCTTATCTGCTTATCCTCATATAATACTGGCGAGGTTACTTTCCGTGACACTCCAAGAATCAGCTGGAAGACTTACTGGGCCTGCCTTTTCTCGTCATCTCGAGCCAGATTTGCCACGTAACCCACAAGGTAGGCCTGGAGTTCTTCGAATGTCCCAACTGTTTGATTGAAGGTTCTGCAGACACAGAAGGAACAGACCAACAGGGAAAATGACTGCGAGCAACAAATGCACAGCCTCCAATGGTCCTTAGTTTGTTTTTCAAATGACAGATACCGTAGAAAATGCCAAAATGAGCCTGCTTTTATGGTTCTATTTTTACATTCCCATTTGTACTTACTGTGCTAAGCTGCCCAGTAGAAAATGTACATTATTATAAGGATGCCACAGTAATAATACTAATAAATGCAGCAGCAGCAGCATAGAGCTATAGATATGGTAATGAAAAAAGAAAACGACCCAGAGGGCAATTCAGGACACTGCAGTAGTTGACCTTCAGGACGCTGTGCTTGAACAGAAAAGCTTTCATGGGCAATCATTCCACCAGACTGCAGTACACTAATTCACTGGAAAATCTGACCGCATCTTTCCAAGTTTGAACAGGATTGCAGGCAATTATCACTCTATGACAGGCAGATACAACTTGTGATCCACCAAACCGAACTCGGAGCAACCATATAGCGTGGCTGTCCTGCAGTGTGATTAATCTCCCATTTTTGCTGTCTGCCTGGAAATGCAAATACAAGAGGGCTCCGTCAGCAACCGTCAGGCCAGAACCCATCTATTTTAGATAATTTCTAGGCCACCCTTCAGTATAAAATCCACAGGGCAGTGTTTGATCAATAATAAAGTTACAATGAGGAACACAGAAACGCAAGTAAAGGTAAAAGCACTGCTTTCAATTCAATCACCTGTGTGTACATATGATGAGACCTTTCCTTGCTCTCCTCCCCACTACAGCCTGCCAGGTGCTCCGACATCTACTCCAGAGGCACAAAGGGGAACGGAAAACCATTCTCCTAGCAGTTTCTGTTCCACAGGTGGATGGTTAAGGTTTGAGACGACCCAGAGAAATGGCAACATTAATAAAACCAATGCAATCTGGCCACACAGTGCCATGACACAAAGAGTAGTGATGCAATTCAAAAACACTTGAGCAAATCCTTAGGAAATTTTCAGCTTGCATGGATAAGAGAGCAAGACGAGCTTCCTTAGAGAAGGCATTCCACCCACAACAGTGGGAGGTTGTGTTCAGGCTGGTAGGTTAAAAGTCATGTAACACGTTTGTGCTACAAAATCAAATGGTACGTCCAACATCCATCCATCTCTATATCTCAGTAATAATGGCATTCACTTTTACATGCTCCAGATCTCTAGCCTTCCTCCACCTGTTCATGCAGGGGCCAAGGTGGACATGCAAGCCCCTACCCCATCCCTGCATACTCGGTCCCTGGGTCAAAGAGGAAGGTCTGAAGTTGGGTGACTGCCCATATCTTCCTCTAATTGATTTGCTGCGCAGGGTGGGCCAAAAGTAGGCATACCGCACCGACTGGGTTGTGTTTAGTCTCTTAGGTACTCAAAATGTTTTCCATCAACATTGCAACATTCCCAGAACCTGCCCCCAACACTGTGACACCAATTCTGGTTAGCATCAATGTCAAGCAATGCTTGCATGATGAACTCCTTCCATTCATCCACTATGATTGCTGTTATTGTGTTATTGATTGCTGTATTTATTGTTTGTTTATCACACTGTAAGCCTTTCAGAGACAAATGGTATAGGGCGGAATAAAAATAGCCTAAATAAATATGTGAGGTCCTCCATGACCCGATCAGTACTGTGTATCTGCTTCTGGCCTATGCGGCATATTTACATTTTCACTCTGCTTTTAAGACAATTATTGCCTTTCCAAGTGGCTTACAGGAAACAAATGAACAGAAAAGCAGAGACAGTCTTACAAAACTAGGATGACAAGACACACATTTGAAGGGACTGGAGAGAAAAGGAAGAGCTAGGAAGTCAGGTTGTCAAGGCAGGAAGAAGTTGGGGCAATGCAAGTGGAATGCACCTTCAGCTAGGCTGCTCGCCTTTGGGGGTGTTTTGCTTGAATAGCTGTTGGTGGGTATTTGGCCAACAAATGGGCCCAGCGTGTTCTTTCCCACTTGGAAGTTGGATGTCAGCTGGCTAAATGTGGTGCTTCAGAGCTGTCAGGAATGATACATTTAATCTTGGTGGTGCCTGTCTTCTCCACTGCTCACCCAGAGAAGCACCCCTACACTCCGCTGAGGTTGCTCTTCCAACCTCGGAGAAGCAGCTGGCATGGCTATTCTGCACCAGCTGCAAGGCGAAGAGGGCACTCCAAATGTAGAACTGCTTTCCAACCCCAGAGCTGGAAATCTGGAAAAAGCTGTGGCTCTCTAGATGCTGTCTAAGGGCCATAGGATCACTCAGTAAGTAAACTGGACCTTACTGTGCAGAGGCAGAATTCCCCTGGCTATCAGTTTCTCAAATAAATAATATAAGGCCACGACCTTTACATTTCCCTTGTGATCTTCCAGAGATATCTGGTGAATATTCATTAGACTTCTTAGGTGGATTTGCTGTGTTCCAGCAAGAAAACTTGTATGCAATTTTTGCATTCACATTTTATTTGTGAATAAAAATACACTAAATTAAGAATTTCAATGACCTACATAAATCTGTTGCCATCTCAGTCCTTTCCATACATCTGAAGGAGCCATCTACTGCCTATAAAAGCTCATGCTTCAATGAAACAGCTAGTTCTTACAGCATGGGCATATCACTAAGTATCTGAACAATACATTCAAGGTACAAGAAATGAAGCTAAGAAAAGTCAGTGCAAGGAAGGAAAGCGTTAGGATCGGCATTACAATATGAGAATGGTACTAGAAAGTCCCTCCATTAGGCCCCTTCAACAACCCCTAGTATTCCCCACCACAGGATGTGCTGGCTAGGGCTGATGTGGCTTGAAATACCAAATACCTGAGGGGCATAAGACTGAGGAAGACTGCCCCTACTGTACCAAACCATCCAAAACCAAACTGAAGCCTTTCAAAAAAGAAATTTACTTTTCCTGCTTCCTATCAGACCCATTTCAGTAATGTTCACCTTCTCAGAGATTCCTCCGCGTTTCTTGTAAACACTCTGCAATGGCTGGAAGAGTCTGAGTTTGTCATTTAGAGGCAATAAAAATCTTCATTGCTGCAAACAAGGTCCACATGAGAACTCGATGTTCTTTTCTTACAAAATCCTCCAGGTGTCCCAAAAGTATATTTATGGAGTTGAACATGGTATCATAATTAGTCATCAGCTTAATCACATAAACTGCCTTTCTCCCAGTTCACTCATAGCTGTTTTCTATGGCGTGACTGCACTATGCTTGTTTGCAGCTGCAGGCTAAAGCAAACACCATTCTGGAATGCTATAGGTGTATTTCCATGCAAGCTGAACCCACAAAAAGTCATATATATTGAAGCATACCCTAGTCTGTCATGTTCGGTTCTGCCTAACCATGCATAGGATAGTGCCTTAAAAGATGAAAAAACACAATCTTTTCATTCCAGTCCCTCTCTCCGTTTTTCGTCTCAACAGTCAGGTCGACAGGCTGGATTCTGTCACCACTATGTTCAGTCCTTATTCGACTATCTAGTGTCCCCACAACTCCCAATCTCATGGTTTCCACCAAGTCTGCTTAGACTTTGAGATCTTGCTAGACTAGAAATGAACTCAGCATGAAAAAAATACTGTAGAATATTTACATTGCAAATTTCTGACTCCCTCACTGATAAATGAAGTTAAATTTATTTATTTTATTAAAACATTCTATTAAATGTTTCAAACTTACTCAGACTTAGTGTATACTTTTTGTTTAGACCCTCATCCAACCAATTAACATTTCTAAGCTCCATTCATTTCAATCTCTCCTAGTGCAATCCATGGGACATTTTTGCCTGTAGGTTTTGTTCTTCTTTTTAAATATACTATAATACAATATTGAACAGGAGACATATTTAGCAACTACCACAATTTTGGTAATATTGTAAAAATATTTAAGAATCTTTCACTAAAGGTAGATTCATGGAATGTATATTTTTTCCTACTCAAAGGTTATATTTTGCATTCATCTCATGGGAATTTATAGGAAAGGAGGTCACAATTCTCCCCCACTCCACAAACGTCTGGGCTTATAATGTCAAGGTTCATTGGAGACTTCCCCACAACTTTGTTAGTTTGACAACAATCATCGCCATGGGATTATGATAGAAAAAGATGCCTCTTAATAGTAAAAATGAATATACTATAAACTTACAGACTGAAACAAGATCCTTACATTTATTTACTTATTTATTTATTTGGAACATTTATATGCCGCCCCATTCACAAAAAGCCTCAGGGTGGCTTCCAAAACAAATAAACAATCATACAATTACCTTAAAAATCTGGAAACATCTTGGCACAGATATAAAATCAATAAATACAATCAACAATCATTAGGAAGAGAAATAGAGATTAGGGAAAAGTAGAAGGTTTTTATTGTTGATATATAGCATGGAAGCATTTGATAAATTAAAGGGAAGAAGGAAACAAAGGAAAAGATTACTTACTCTCGGTCAATGACAAGGCATTCCACATCATTTTCATCAGCAATTATATTAGCAGACCTAACATCATCACTGTAAATGAAAACAGATCAAAGTACTGCACCTGCAGAACTGATTTGCCATAGAAAGACTAAGGCACTATGCATCAAATTTGTTGATTCCTGTCAGTGAAACATTTCTAAACTAATAATCTCTTCACCCAGTAAGAATGCTTGCGTACCAATGAAAACAGTATATAGCAGGCTACAATCCTATTCACATTTATCTGGGAGCACGTCCTACAGGGGATTGTGGGACACAGATGTCTTCAAGCGTTGACAGCAAGGGTGCAGAACCTTTATTAGTCCAAGGAATGAATTCCATTTGGGAGTTGCATTCAGGAGCTGTATTTCAGTGGGATCAAAATACTAGGCTGTAGTCCAATCAGGATGCCGCTGAACCTCAAAATTCAGAATACCATGGGTAACCTATGCAGAATCGGAGGAGTGCCAGCGATGCTTTTTGGTCAACTCCTCCTGCTCCGCATTTTTGCTAGGCAGCTTAAAACTGATCTAGCTGGAGAAATTTGGAGGGGGAGAGGAGGAAGCTGCAGAAGGCACAGGATAGTTAATCTCTTGTACTTCCCACCTCCAGATAACATTCCTCCTCCCCAAGGTCAAGTCACCTGGAACAGCTTTTTGGGGGGTTTTTTTGGCACCAGCTGTGAAAAGGGGAGACAGGTCAGAGCATGGATTCCCAGCTCTGAGGTTGGAGCTCCGTTTCCCACCTCAGATCTGTCTTCTAAAGTACCTTATGAGTCACCAGATGATGTCACAGGGCTACAGGATTGCTTCCTAAAGCTCTTACTGCCAGTAACTAAGAAATAGAGGCATTGCAAGATCTTAGAATAGAGGGAAATCTCACAGAAGCCAAGAAATCACCAATCCTTAGATGGATGGCAAGAAAGAGATGAAGCCTTCTAGGGAAACTCAAGAGGCCAGGGTGGAACTGCAGCCCTGAGCTTCTGTACTCCAGTTGTAGACGATCACAGTGTTGTTAATTAAGCTGTTGACTGGATACGTAAAATTCAGTACAGAAAACTTTGTTTGGAACGAACCTCTAAATCTTTGCAATCAAGATCTTACAGCAATGGAACAGGCCAAATAACTGAAAATCCAATGAAGGCAGAAGGGGAAAATGAACTTCCTGCATTTTTGTTCTTTTCTTTGCTAAATTCCACTTCATGCTTTGAATATCTGTAACACTACCTTCTGCTTGAAGTGAAAGCCTGCACTAAGAACAGTAATTAGACCTAATCACCATTTCTTCATCTCCCCAGGCTTTTCACCTCTGTGTTGTCATTAAGTGTTGAATCTGTATGATTTGGGTGGCTTTAAAGCAACCCACTGATGTGGCATTTGTTTCACTTCATGTTAACTCTTGCACGAGCCCAAGGACGAATTGCAACATACTGAGTAAGTTTTACAAGAGGCTGCACTTTTATGATATGCAGGCATGTTGAACTGAGGTTGGCCATTTCAGTTCCATAAAATCTACTAGAAAGTGGACTATCTCCAGGTTGCCAAATCCGAAAGAATTTAACACAGAGAAAATGCTTCATGCGCTGACACTAAAGACAGCAAACGAGAGGAAACTGGTAGTATGAATATCCATCCTTTCAGGTATAACAGCAAGAAAGTTGACTTACTTCCAGACAAGGCATTTTATGGATTTATTTATTAGATTTATATCCCACTTTTTTAAAACTCAAAGTGGCTTATATTGTTCTGCTGCTGCTGCTCTAAATCCCACCTCCAGAACAACAACCCTGTGAGGTAGGCTGGGCTGAGAGTCTGTGACTGGCCCAAAGTCACCCAGTTGGCTCCATGGCTGAGCGGGGGCTAGAACCCAGATCTCCTGAGCCCCAGCCCTGCGTTCTTAACCACTAGGCCACACTCTATGGAGTTATCATCCTGCCTCATTCATGGAAGTTAATTGGGGCTCCAGATGACATGGTCACCAGACAGCTGCTAGAAGGCCACAGGACTGTTTGGACTCCCAGCTATAAGGCTGAGAAATCACTCCAACCTCATAGCTGGCGTGCAAAGACCTGCACTGGCTGCCTCTCCAAGACCACACTAGCCAGTTCAGAGAAGAGCTTTTAGGATCCTTTGGCATTCTAGGAGGCAGGAATGGGAAGAGCCTGGTGCAGCCAAGACAGGATGTATTCTGGTGACACCTCAGCCTTCTGCCCTCCCCGTCTGAAACTCTGACGGAAACGGCCACAACTGGCCATCGAAGTGCTTTGCAATGGGAGACCCCTGCTCGTTCCATGTTCTGCAGGACGCCTGCAATCCTCCACATTGGAGGGCTCTGGGTATGCCAACGGGATTGCATCACAGGTCATTTCTCCTGAACTAAGTCCACACCTTATATTCTTAGTCTCTGCTCCACTCATGAATTCCTGGTGTTTTCCACTTTGAAAAAAAAACAACAGATTTTTGAAAGCAAACATGAATGTTTGTGAGTCAAAAGTAAGTTTGAGCTAACCTGATCAGAGCCTTCTCCCCAAAGTAATCTCCTTTCTGCAATGTTTTAATCAGCTGGGGCTGTGCCTGCCCATCTGTGGTCTGGGTAACCTTAACCTAGAAAATGGAAAGCTACAGGTCACAAATTGCACAAAACCTCTAGTTTCCTTTGATCCATCACTCATGGAATTCATTGTCATAGTTCCCCAAGCCAAAATAAGCAGTAAAGTCTTTTAAGCAAGAGGTAGCAAACTGCAGATCTTTATCAGGTGGGGTTGAATCAAGGAATGTAACAAAAACAACACTTTTGTTGCTACCTCTTGAAACCAGACCCACATTTTAAAAAACTGGAAGGAAGCATCTGTGTTTACCCAGAAGTGTGCAGCCTTCCAGATGTTGGACAGCATCTCATTCTGCCCACATATCAGCAGAGCTCACAACTGGCACAACTGAAACCAAGTATCCAGAAGGGTTGAGTGAAAAATGCTAGTTTCCAGAATGGGACAGGCCAGTACAGCTTGCAGAAATGATCTCAGATGACCTGTCCCATTCTGGAAAATAGATTTTCTGTGCTAGCTTCGCACTGGCACTGGGTCCTGCAGGTGGAGCAGAAACACTGGGAACACAGGCATTCTGCCCATCAGTCTGCTCATTTCAAGCTGGCAGACTCCAATACCCTTTCTTTTCAGTTCCTTTTGGTGTGCAAATTTATGCATTTTGCTGCTCTGAGCAGGGGGTCTAAAAAGTGGCAAAGGAAAAATGTGGTGGTAGACTTTATCCAAATATTCCAAAGTACCTAATGAACAATGTAACAGGTGGCAGATGGTGGAGTCTGGAGATGGTACAATGGACTGAACCATTTTAGACTGGATTTCAGAATACCCTCCTACAAGCAGAAAATTCACACCCCAAGGAGAAGTGTTCTAGCCCAATAGTTCTTGCTTTTGACTTTCATGAGGGTTCGTTTTTAAATGATCCTAACTATTTATTTTATTTATTTTTAAACTAATATTGTGCTAAATGTATACCTTAAATATAACCCCTGTAACAAAACTCCAGTGATTTCTGCTTGCTTGCTTGTTTCAGGAAGGAATGTAGCTTCAGAAGAGGGCACCATGAGATGGCACAGATGTGGTTTGCCTCTTCCCAGCTCACCAGTTCGTCACTCCAAGTTTTACTTCCTGAAACTACTTTTTCCAAACAGGAAAGAAGCAAAAGTAGGAAGACTTATCTTTTGCACCATTGGCAAGTCCATTCAATTAGCAACACTGCAACCCTAAGCTTATTCAGACAGGAAAACATGGCCTGCAAGACCTAGCATGACTGGCCACTCTGGAAAAGCTACTGGGCTAGACTGGCGTCTGCTCTGAACCAGCAAAGCTCCTTGTACGTTTTAAAACATGCATCAATTGCAGCAAGATTTGGAATCTCTGCCTTGCCACTCGTTTAAAATGTCTTGCAAAAGCCCGGTTGATTTTCTCTGGGACCAGACTTGTCAGTTCCCAGATTCAGTAGGTGAACTTCCTGAGCAGCACTCAGTGCTGGGGGTGGGGGGGGGGCAAGTTTGCGTGTCTCCTGTAAGCACACTGCATAAGTGTTTATTTCTGGAGCTTGCCAATTGGTAATGCACCATCTGTCTGTATCCCCGCACAATTGCTGATCTGTTTGTTCTCCATTCGTTAGCACATAAATGTTTTTTTGATTAAGTCTCTTCACCCTCTGCAGAAGAGGGAGGAAATATTTCTTTTGGGTGTTAAAGAAATAATGAGGCAGCTTTGGAAGACTGTGGCTGAGATCCAGAGAGTTATTTTGGGCAGGCTTGAAGGCCTGTGAGCATCCATTGGGATTATGACCTTTGACCTTTAAACACCTATCCTCCACCGCCATGCCACATCACAAACTACTTCTGAAACTTGGACGCATGATCTGATTGAAAACTTTACAATAGTTTCCCCCAACTTGGTAGTCTCTGCCTGTCTTAGACTACAGCTCCAAGAACTTCTGACCACTGGCCATGTTGGCTGAAGCTGTTGAGAGCTGAAGTCCAAAACATCTGGAGGGTAATGATGCAAAGATCCGCTCAGAATCCGATCTTTTGTGCTTGCCAGACTTCCTTCCCACACTAGGCCCTGGCCTAGGAAGCAAGCCAAGCCAAGATCAAGTCCATGAACACTTGGGAAGGCTAGCAGGCCCCTTCTTTGCAGTGAATTATGCTGCTGCTAAGGATGCAAAACCCACAAGTCATGTGCGTGGAAGCAAGCCTCTGCTTGCACAGCAGATACGCAGGTGCCAGGCAGCGTGTGTACAAGCAGGCCTCCCTAGTTTATATAATACCTGATGGTTGTGCTCACTTCCAGCTGGACACCCACACAAATGCTTGGCACAAGTTGGACTTAAGACAGAGAAAAAACAGAGCCGGAGTCCAGGATACCAAGCTGAGAAAATCTGACCAATCCCCAGTCCCAGACTGGATTCCTCACACACCACTACCAGAAGGCTGGGGAAGGCTATTTTCTGATAGAGTTGTATGCCATATTGAGTTTTAGGCATTTAGCACTGGTTCATCAGGTAGAAAGAATTATCTCAAGGATATTCAAAGAAATAGGTTTAAAAAGTGTGGCACAAATTGTATACAATGGTAACTCTTGTTTGTTTGTATTTAATTCCTGGGTTACTGTAAATGAACCATCTTACTGGTTCGTGCAATCTGAACACCCTGTCCTTGATTAGCATTACATCCAAACCCAGAATTCTGCCTTGGCTCATCTGAAGTCAAAGCTGTAATCCTGTGTTTTTGTATGGATTACAACTCTGGCTTGTTGTAGACAAAATATGCCAGATTTCCTGGTTCAAGTGTGATGCTAACCAAGCTGAGAATGGATGCTCCTGGCTCATTTAATTCCTCCCACTGGTAAGAGAAGCCAGGTAGGAGCAAGAAAGCCAAATGATCTAGCATGTTGGCTCACCATGATCCAGAATGTGTAAAAACTCGGGGTTATTTATTTTATTTATTTATTTTATTAAAACATTTCTATGCCGCCCCTTGCCGAAGCCTCGGGGCGGCTTACAACACAATAAAATACAATAAAATACAAAAATAACAATATAAAATTAACAATATAAAATAAATAACAATATAAAAGAAGTTGCCCTGGCCAGATAAACCTTCGAACTTTCCTCTCTGAGACCTTTGTTGAGGGTTTTTCACTGCCTTACTTCTAAGGAACATATCCATTTGTCTGCCAAGAAACCATTTCATCTTTCATGCAGTTCACAAAATTACCTGGCATGTACCTAAGTCTATGAGTTTGCGCAGCCCTGTGGCTATACATTGCAATGGACAACCAGAGGCAGACGAATTTTTCATGAAACCTCATCTTTCACAATTGACAGTCAATGGAAAGCTTCCACTGAATCCCAGAGTTTCCTAGAGCACACCTGGAAACCCAATCTTTAGGTACTGAGCAACTTCACCTAAAGGAAAGGTTCAGACTTAATAACCTGCTGGATTCCTATCTATTTTGTATTTCTCAGATTCAAAGGCTGTTGGACATTGCCGTGTTCCTTGCACGGAGATCAGAACTGGAATTCTTTGGCCAGAGATGCCAGCACTGTGTTGTTGCTGTTTCCTCCTTTTATTGATTTTTATTTCTTTATTATTTATTTATAGCCCCATTACTAAAATGTCTCTGGGAGGCTCACAAAGGACCTTTTATTATTAGCTTTAATGCCTCTTTGTACAGTACGCCCAGGAACAAATAATGTGGTATGAACAAGCCAAAACAGTCAAACTCCAAGAAGACCAGCTAGGATTCAAAGGGCCAGAAATGGATGCTGTGAGCAGAGACAGGTTGATGGTTAGGTTTTGTAGCAAGAAAGGGGGGAAATGTTCTTATCAGGGGTTTCCTTCTGGGCTTAAGGGATGCGGTTTATTTCCTGCAATCAATGGGGTGGGTGAGGGGGAACTGTAGCTGAGCTTGTGCCATCTAATCCAGCTAGAAGGCCTTCTGTACTGTCAGCTTTCCCAGGAAGCTTTTCCAGAGTGGCCAGTCATGCTGGGTCTTACAGGCCATGTTTTCCTGTCCAAATAAGCATAGGGTTGCATAGGGTTTTCCCATTTGGGTGCTGCAGCCAGAGTCCTTGGTTTGGGCCCTGATGCCTAACAAACCGTTATGATTATTGCTTACTGTTGTGGTTACTGAAATAATTGAAATGGCTGTTGAGCTTGGTTACAAGCCTTCTATGTCAAAGGATTGAAAGGCCAAGTTTAAATGCCTACTGATCTTTGCGGGATTAACTTTAGAAAAACATATGAGACCTAAGAAGAACTTGCTTAAGCCCAAGACGGAGAAGAGTTCTGTCTTATTTCTGCCAGTCCATTTCTGTATAGACTGGTACCTTTGAATTGCCTTGGCTAATTCCTAATATTTTCACATTTACCTGTGGGTGTCATTGTCACACTGACTACTTGCTAGAGGAGACACATCAGACATCTATTTTGATGGTAGTATCTACTTTACAAACTAACAAACACAGCTTCACATGCAGAGCCTTTGGCAAATATGGTCATTCGTCTTACTTGGTGTCTTACCTTCCCTTTGGCTATAACAAAGAAGGTGTTTCCTTCTTCTCCCTCCCGGATAACATAATCACCTTTGTCATAGTATTCCTATGAAGCAGAAAGAATGGAGATTATATGAGGATGTAGGAAGTGATTTAGATTCTTTCCAGGTGCCTAAAGTTAAAAAAAATCAGCATTTCATAGCACATTGTTGATTTTAATACAGACAATTATTCAAATTCACACCAAGCCCACAGCTCAGGCTTAGATAAATATTGTGCTTAAAAACAGTAGATTGGAGCCTACACCTCCGAGCTATCATCTCTGTGTTATCTAACTACTGCCTTGTTTGCAGAGTTTCTGCATCAGGAAAGCAGTGTGTGGTGAAATAGGAAAAACAATACACACTCTAGGAAGCCAGGGCTGAAAAAGTTGAAGCTGCAATTGGAAGGAGAGAGGAGACAAGGGCAATACATCTTGCCCCCTTGCCTGCATTTTCTTTGCAGCAAACTGCAAAGACCTGTTGGCCCGCATGCTGCTGAATGACTACAGCTTACAGGTGAGAAAAGCAAAACAGACAGATGTTAAGTATGAACTGGGTGATATGGGGGTCACTTATATCGGTGTGTTTACTATGTAAGGAAAATTATACTTGTCTGGGGTTCTACTTAAGCATCCAAGTTTAAATCAGACTAGATTTGGTAAAGCCAAAACTCTGGCTGTCATCTGATTAAAGAAATGCTTAGAAGATTGATCAAATTCACGGTACTGAATTACTTAGCCAAGAAAGACATTAATTTAGCATAAATCGGTATACCATAAAGGGGGAAAAGGATAATAGATGTACATGTTGCAGCAGTTCTTTGGGAGACATTGTCTTTGGTGTGTGATGGAAGCTGAAATTCCTCTTTTAGGATAAAGGCTATAGATGGAAGATACTTCATATGTGAATAAGTAAAATGGATTAAAATACTAAATAAATTGTACAATGCACTCTCCAATTAAGCATGATTTTTAGTTGACTGAAAGGATTTTTTGATTAACTAATAAATTAATCAAGTAAAGGTTGCTGCCTTATGCAGGACTTCCACAGAACTTGGCTTCGTAAGGTTATGGGATGGTTCAGTTCAGGGCAGGCATGGCTGGGTGCCTAACAGGGGGTTACACCCCAGCAGAAGAGCCTTGGCTTGCTCCCCCCCGCCCCAGCAACCTGCTTATTGACCTGCCTCTCACTGTGGCCCAGACAACAGGTGAGGGTGAAAAGAAGGGTCCCTCTGTTGACTGGCTCTCTGGCTCCCTGCCTGACAAGCAAGCAAGTGGCAGCACTGATGAGGAGGAGGAGGAGCATTAGAAGCTGGTGACCGTGTCCATGAGAGGCAGAGTCACGGAGAGAGGGAGGCCCTTGAGGGAGTGCTGCTCAAGGACCCTACCCAGAACCAGCAGAATTCCCATACTCTGTCATGCCTTAACCCACTGCCTCACCTAAGTCCCCTTGGGTCCTCTCTGGGGGTGATTAAATATGGATCCAAGCCAATAAACTGAAGGAGACACGTTCAGCTTCTGAACAGTCTTCAATGCATGTTTACTTAATCAAAAGGTAACAATCGCCAAAATAACACGAATACGATCAGGCTTCCAATTCACATACCTAATAGTACACATTTTTAAATTCTGAGTCTGCAAAAGGCACCTGATATCAGCATTATCCCTCCATCTTCAGTCGCGGTGTAGCCAATCTATTTGTTTAGGACTGGGTATTGTATTTGGGGTTTTAATGTTTGTAAACCACCCAGAGAGCCCTCTGGGCTATTGGGGTGGTGTATAAATGCAATCCATCAATCAATCTTCTTCTATGCTAGGAACAGGGAACCGGTGGCTCTCCAGATGTCAGACTACAGCTCCCATCAGCCCCAGCCAGAATGGCCAGTGATCCAGGATCATGGGAACTGCAGTCCAGCCACATCTGGGGGACCACAGACTCCCCAATCATCTTTTCTATCTTTAATATCTACATTACGTTGTCTTTAGCAGTCAGCCATCCCCGAGTGCTTTCCCATGAGATGGAGACATAAGAGAAATATAATAGCAGTGTGTGGGTGGATAGCAGGAGCGTGTTTTGGCTTCGTCCCAAGTGCATTCGTCTCAGCAGACTCAGGAAACGGTGCGATATTTATTCTGTCTTCCAAACGGTTCAGGAAGTCACTTCTCTGAGAAGGTAACTTTTCCCATTATCTCCTTATAATTGGCACGTCGGCTATTTCCTTGTGAGGACAAGCACACCATTGCCAAGAGTTCATACCGACTGCCTGCACATGTCCTACGAACAGCTGCCGGGGGTGGGGGGTGGGGAGTCTGCAAGCACCGCCACCGGTGCAAAAAACAAAGCCCCCACCCTTCTTTTAAGCATCTCCGGCCTGGCCGAAGGGGTGGCTTCCTCGCTAGGTGAGCCATCATAGCTCCACGGGAAGAAGCCTGAGGAGTAGCCTGCTCCTCCCTGCTCTGCACAGAGCATCATTTCCAGTGTAGAGGGAAGCATCTAAACTGGATGATGCTGTAGGGTGGAAATGCCCTCAGAACCTGCTCCAAGCCTCTGGGCAGTCTCCCCTCTAGCACGGACCCCTTCAGACCGTATCCAAGGGTCCTTGCAAATGGTAAAGAAGCTGACACGAACGCAAGACGAGATGAAGGTGCACACAGGAACGCACAAAGTTGCCTTCTACAGTACTGGCAGTACTGCTGTGAAGACGTTCAAGCCCAAGGACTGAATCCAGCTCTCTGGGATTCCCCAGAAGGCCACATGGCCACTGCCTGGGCTCCACCACCTTTCCCCCAGTCATTACATTGTTTCCCAGCAGTTTTTCCCCTATCCTAGCAGGTGGAAACTGGCTAGCAGAAGAGGCTTGCATTAAAACATGCTGGTATTTTTGCTTGCTGTCTCCTCCCTTGGCAGCACCCACCACTGGAAAGCAGCCACTGCGAGATTCTCCACAATGGAATTTGGCCCTGGGCTGAGAGAGGTTCTGCATGCCTGGTCTACATGAACTGGCGGTGACTCTCCAGGTTTTCACAGAGGGCACTTTCCCAAACCTACCCAGAGATGCCCACTTATAATCTCCTCCTCTCAAAGGGACAAAGACAGGCTGCCTCTCCCAGGCTTCAAACCCACATCCTTGGAGGAATTCCTACTGGACTGGCCAAATGAGCTCACCAGCTAATGGTGGACTTGCAAGGCCTGTGGGAAACACCGTGCTCATGGCTCAGTGGTACAGCCCCTACTTGCATGCTAAAGCTTCCCTGGCTCTGCTAAAGGTCCCAGCTTCAACCCCTGGAACATCCAGGTGGGGCTGGGGAACCATCCTACCTGAAATGCCAGAGGATCCATGCCAGTGAGCACAGACAGCACTGAGCTAGAAGGACCACTAGCCTGTCTCTGTCCAGGGAAGCACCGCGCTGGTGCTTCTAGAAACATTTCAGGCCCATCCAGCTGCCTGAGTTGCTGCTCACGCAGTCAGGGCCACCTCTTCAAACAATCTGTGCACTAGATGATTGTTTCAGTGGTGGCTCTCTATCATTGTAGCTGTATCCTTTGAAGATAGGCAGTAGTCTCGTTAGATTTCCCTGCCAAATGGAAGGCACGTGTTGCAAAGCGCTAGCTTGGAAGAAATTCAGGTCACTCACACTAGGAATTAGCTTTGCTAGCAAAAAGAAAGGAGGGGAGCAGATAAGAATCAACAGACAAATGCTGAGCACGGTCTCTCACAAAAAAACACGTTTAATAGATCTCAAATTACATTTCTTCATCACCAAGTCACAATGCAAAGCTCTTGTGCAGAAATAAATTCCACTGAATTAAATGGCGCATTTACTTCCAAGTAAACAGTGTTCAGGGTTGGTGATGAAGAAAGCTCAACGAGTTCCTTTTTTGTAGCATTTGTTCTACTGAAGCATAAAGTGAGATGCTTACATAAGAGTCTGCATAATAAACCAATATGCCCACAGCAATTCCAATCAGCCCTTTACATATAAAGCCATCTGTTCATTTACACCAAGAAATACATAAATAAAGAAAAAAGAAAAACAACTAGTGCTAATTGCTTGGGTTTCAAATAATTAGTTCTGTTGAAAATATAAATGAAGAAGGGAGACTGTGCCAGGCAGAGAATTCTGACGTTTATTTTTGAAAGCCATGCGCTAATGTTTTTATCAGTAAGGTCAATCATGCTAGGCCATGCCACATGGAATCACTGACTTTCTTGCAGCTTTACATGGCCTTTCCTAAATGTAGGTTCCAGCAGAGACTTTCTATGTATCTTGATGGGAAATAGCAGAGAATTCCAGCAACAAAGTGTAAATGCATATTTGGTTGCAGCCAAAATGAAAATCTGTCTCTCTTTTTTACCATGCTGTTCTCTGTATGCAGAGCCTAGACAAAAGTTTCTATCAGCTGTACTCAGATCAAATGCCTCAGGAATTGAAAATAGGCGTTTTGGCTGATATGCAATTTTTATCATGTATTTGGTAGCTCAATTTGCATAGGCAGCCAAGAGGCGGTGATCTTGTTATATTAAGAATCACAATGTGCTCTAAATTTTAAAAAGTTGATGGTGAATCCTCACAGCAGAGGGCGAAAAAAGGTTGGTTTTAAGATTCTGTACATTGCAAAGGCCCCAGGCTATGCACAATAAAGTTGATAGGTGGATGTTTTTATCAGTCGCTCTCACTGATATATTCAGTCTTATTATTTTGCAGAAGTAGGAGCTTGGTTGGTTTTCGTAAGCTTCACAACAAATATTTTACAGATCAGTGCCATAATTCAGAGCACAAGTTCAGGTGCTCGTAAGGGCCTGTATACAGAGTTTTCGGAACAGTGGAAATCGCTCCTTAATAGGCAATATGATGTGGGGTACAACTGTTTGAGAAACAAAGCCCACCATCTCTTCACATTTCTTCAGAGATTCCCTACATTGTCCGCAGATGGGAACTGGCACATCTGAATGTTCCTAACATAAATAGGGGAGGGGGACCTGTTTCCCCGTATGTGGGCGATCAGCACGTTAAGAGTACATTTAATGTGTACATTTTGTGCATGTACATTTTGACAGAAAAAAACATGGCTATGTGTGTGCAGAGGGGGTGAGAGGAGCTACGAAATACTGGATGGTACTGAAGCTCACGTGGTAACAAAGGGAGTCAATAATGCAGTTCAGGAAATCTTTCCGGGCAGTTTCAACATAGCCGACAAATCCCAGCTGATCGCACCGTGAATCTGTTGTGCTGAGTCTTGCTCTAGCTTAAAGTGGATAGAAATCCTTGTAGTAAGTAGGCCAGGCATTCAGTCTTCACTGATTTTCTCAGGGCCTGTCTCATCGGATTCTGAAGAGGACACGAAGGAAGAGGCAATGGGAGGACATGAGGATCGGGGGGCGGGGGGAGCCTCTGAAGCGCCATCAAGGGTGCTGCCTGCAGGTGTCCAGCCTGGCGGTGGGGGCAGACCTGTTTCGGAAGAGATGGGCGGGGGGGATGCTGTTGCCTTGCCTGGTGCCTGACCCCATGATCAGGCACTGGGAGAGATGAGTTGCCCCCTTAGAGGGCTTGCACAGGTCTTGCCACCTTGGTCTTCACCAGCAGGACCACGCTGAGGATGCAGCCTGCAGCGCCAAGGGAAGATGCTGGGGAGAAGTTCCCAGTCTGGGCTCAACTCTCTTTACATGAGCAGAGGCTATCATTCAGGTTGCTAGAGGAGGGTTTGAGTTGCCTTGTCTTGTCACTTGTGAAGTGCTAGTAAGGATCTGCATTGCAAAGGACTGTCTGGGGTTTTGGGGCCTAGGACAGGAAAGGAAGGGTCTATCCTGTCTATCCTGTATGACATTCCCTGATAATAACACACACTAAGGCTCTGTGATTAATGAGAACACACTGGTGGGTTCACATAATGCAACAAGCCATGGTGGTTTCTTGCGCTGGATGTGCTGTCATGTCTGAACTCAGTCATGGTACTTCAGCATGGTACCTTTGGGTTTTAGAAACCATGATAAGAAACAGTCTGCTCCATGCTGTCTTCACTTGAGCATACATTTTTTAATTGTTCGAACCCATCATTATGGTTTCCATGGCCCTGGCATTCAGCTGCTACAGAGTCCCCGGGAAAGAGCGGCAGCTGATGAGGAAACTGTTCTAGCCATCCACTGTGGGACTGAATTTCAGGCATGGCAGCTGATGGGATATGTGCCAACAGCAGCAGGACTGAACAAGAAGGATGGAAACCACACGTGTGTAGAAACCACCTGATCGTCTGTCAGGCACATCCAGGCAAAAAACCATGCACCATAGAAAGCACACACAGTTGCTTGCAATGTGTGAACCCAGTCACTGCAATGAATAATGAACAAGCTAACCAATAGCTTTGAAAAAAAAGGGTTTTGTTCTGCAATAATTTTGCTAACAATTTAAAATAGAAGAAAACTCTTTGGAGGCCCATGTGCTTACCACTTCCAAGCAGTCTATGATCTTTGTCAGCTTATCTTCAGGTAAATTTTTCAACAAAGACACACTTTAAAAAAATGAAAGAAAACACATACATTTAAATCAGTATGTACACAGAGTGTCCTCTTTCTTTTGATAAAATAGTGCTTTAGCAGAACCGGATTCTTCAATCACTGTGACACATCCTGATGCTAAAGGTATGAAGCATAAGAAATATCAAGCACAATCCTTGGCATTTCCTCCATGCATAAATGAAAGGGGCCAGGCGTGTTAGGCAGGGGTGTGCAACCTTTTTGGCCCCAGGTGCCACAGGTGCTTTTGCCTGAAGCTGTACATGGGCTGCGGTGAACCGAGGATCACATGCTGAAGAGAAACATCTCAGTCTGCTGCCTTGATAGCGCATTGTACAACACCAAAGCAGTGATCTGGGCTGTTTCCAGGAAAGCAAGGAGGCCAACAGCATCCCCAATGACGCCGGCCCTGTCTCTGCTCTTTCGATGTGTTTTCAGGAGAGAGAAAATTTGGCATCTTTCAAACGCCTCTCGAAAACACACCTGCTCACCCAGGGTTTCCCTGGCCCATAATTAAATCAGCTGTGCTGTTCTGTGTTACCACTTCTGCACTGCTCTGCATTCTATGCTATTATTATTGTGATTGCAACATTTTTTAAAATTGTGTTTTAAATGCTTAATTATGATTTTAATATTTACATGGAAACCACTTAGGAATGTTTCATAATGTTCAGCAGTACAGAAATTACACAAACAAATAAATACAAAATACTGCTTGAGTATCTTGCCCTGCTAATCTGCAGTCTCTAAAAGAGATTGCTGGGAAACTCAAATGAGTGAGGAATGGAGGTGCCAAAACAGGGGCGTGTGTACTGGGATCTGGCGGGCCACTGAGCAACAGCTTGGTGGGGTACCTGTGAAAGCACCCCTGATGTAAGGATTAGTAGTGGAACACGAGAACCACCATAAGTTACATGGTATTTAAGAAAGCTTTCTCTCCCCCAATTGGTTTGCCGCACTTTCTTCTGCAGTTTAAGCATTAGTGTTATGATTGTGTAATATCTGTAGTTGGCCTACTCATGCAGCATCACCAGCGATCAGCGATCAATCAGGTGGGGACTTTATAAAGCTCAGGTGTCCAGTGCGATGCGCAATGACCCAGCCTGCCTCTTGGTGCCCACCAGATTCCCCAACTCTCCTGATTTCTAATTTTATTCCAAAGAACTATGTTGATATTTTAAAAAGATTTTTGACTAGGAAACTGGCACACTCAAAAGCAGAGGGGTAAACTCCAGCAGCGTCTTCATTTGGGTTCAGAAAGGTGGCTTTGCATTTGACAGCTAGACCAAAGCTCTGCCTTAGACCTAGGTTCTCGGACCAATTACTATTTTCTAGCCTCACCAGTTTGCCTTCCAGTTTGTCTGTCCATACTCACCACGACCACCCTTGTATGAAGGGGCAACCTCCCACTCTATGGCAGCCTTTCTGTGAGAGCCCTCGAAATTCCAAATGTGCTCCTGGGCCCACAAAGGCCCATGTGCTTGGGCAAGAGGTAGCACATATTAATTCAATCGCCCATTCAGAATGCAAGGCCCTTGACTTGGCGACTGATTCAGTGACCGTCTTGAGCTTCTGCTCCCCATGAGAAAAATGATGCGCCTGCCCAAGCGCCGCCTTGAAGGCCACATGTATTGCGCTTCTCTTCAAGGAATACTTAAGCTTATGCTGCATTTACCTTCTGAGGAAATTTCTGTACTGCTCATGTCGTGCTTGTGCCGTCCGCCGCATGATGTTCTGGAAGACCTCTCTGTCTAACGCCCATGTTTTCACGCTGGTGACAGCTTTAGGGACAAGGGGGAGAAAAACAACACGGAAAGGACGAGCATTTCTACAGCATCAAAACTGTTGCCCATCGACACCAAATACCCTGAAGGCATCACTTTCTCTGATGTTCTCCATGAAACTGAGAGTGTGTGTCACACTGACAGTACTATTTTTATTCCACCTTTTAACAGCAGGAATTACCAATGGAGTGTTGCTACCAGTTTCACACCTCACTGGTGTGAGAAGCTGGCTTCACAGGGAAACTGGCTGCCTTTTATTTTGTTTCCTGCCCTTGGCAATTTTTATTGGAAGGCAGCTGATAAATGCTGTCAATAAATCAATGCAATTACCAACAGCATTTTGGAGAGAAGGCGCAACAGCAGCTCAGCACTTTCCACTTTCTATTCCATGACGTAGTGGAGGAAAGTGCCTCACTTCAAATATTGCCCTCCTCCAGTGACACGAGGGCATGCGGAAGCCTCTTCAATCTCAACAGAACCAGCTGGTATCCAAGATAATTAGTAGCATACTGCACTGGTTGGAGCAGCCTTCCCCAGTTGTGGACTACAGCTCCCAGCATGCCTTAATCCGAGTTTTCCCCTCCATCATGACTGTTGAGTAAGCCACCTCTGGCCAATTAATATCCCTCAGTCTCAGTTGCTGGGGTTGGGGATGCAGAATTGGATAATCCCTTGGTATGTTGCCCTGAACTTTTCTGGAAAAGAACCAAATACAAATAAAAATCCTTTTTTGTAATACTGTTTCTTTATTACATGTTTTGCCGCCTTTTATCACTGTGGAAAAAATGACCTCAGTAGGCATGGTGTGTTTAGAAAAATCAATGCAGAAGAATTAAACTGCTTTTTAAGAGATTTAATGAGTGTTGCCAATCAACCATAGTTTGTTACTGCTGGCGTGCTAACTGCTGAAGCGGTCTGAATGAATGAATAAATAAATGAATATTATTATTTGTTCCATGTCCACGCCATCCTGTAGAAATTTTATCTATAGTCCCCCGTTTTCCTTTTGCTAGAGACCCAAGGCAGCTTGCATGAACCTCCTCCCCTTTCTCTTCCCTTTATCTTCACAAAAACCTTCTGAGGCTGGTTAAGCTGCAAGTCAGTGACTGGGCCAGAATCACCCAGTGATCTTTGCAGCCGAGTGGGGACTTGAACACCCATCTTCTGAGTCTCACACCTGCACCCTGACCACTACGCCCCATTGCCTTGTCCTTTAATCCCTACTATTATGGATGACTTTAGTGAGCCTTAATCTTCATCCCTAGCACTGCTGAAAAATCTGGAGTAAAAACCCCTCTCCTTGGGTCTAAGTCACAAGTTCCATTTCCCAAAGTGACAATATACAGAAGCATTTCCAAGGGAGCAAGGCTTTATGCAAGCCAGACGGAAGGAGCTCCATATCTTCCCGTTCCTACTTTCTTATCCATTCTATTCTAATACCATCACCCTGCCATGCATTTCCTGAAGCATGGTGAGCAAAAAGACAGACACATCGCATCATGATGCCATACAAAACCTCCTTGCCTCTAGGAGGATTCCAAGAGAGCCTTTCATTATGCAATTGCCCTTCTCATTCATGGAATGGTTACGGGGACCCAGATGTTGTCAACTTCCACCTGTAACTGTGCCCTATTTCCCCAGCATTTCTTACGGCCTAAAAAACACCCTCTTCAGGAGGAAAAGATGGAATGTCTTTTAGTGGGTAACTCTAGGAGCACCATATAAAGTCAGAGAAAGACAGAAAAAGTCAGAGAAAGGATACTTCCAGACAAAGGGTCCTCTCCGTTCATCTAAAGGCATGGTGGGGTGATATTCCATCTTTCCCTCCTTAACCAGTTTTTTTTCCAGGTTAGAAAAAAGACATTAAAAGAGGTAGCAAAACACAGGAGGGTTCCAAATGGAAGATTCCATTGCCAGGATGCCCCATAAAAGTCCACGAAGGAGCAGAGTGGTTACATGATGGAAGCCCCATCCGCAAGGCCTCCTATAAGCACAGGAAGACTGCAAGCCTGTGCAAGAATTACTCACAGGTATGCCCTATGGATGCCCTTGAACTTGCCAGGACTTTACAGCACTGGCGTTGTGCTTAGGATGTAAGAGCGGTCATGCTGACAACACCGCACATTAATATGCACCGAGAACTGCTCAAAGCTACCTCGCAGCTGCACCTGGCTGACAACCAGGAGCACTCCATGAAAAGGAAGAGAAAAGGAGAGGTTTGCAGCAGATAAGCTCATCTGCACGGCACTGCCTCTTGGATGAAATTAGCAGGAAACATTCTGTGCTGCTTTTCTGAACACGGACTGCATCTGATTGGCATGCGGATGCTGTCAGCATCGGGAAACTGGAAAGCCGGGCGATCACAGGGTGCTCATCAGAGCATTTCTGGGTGTTCTGAGGGACTTATCAGAACAGCCCCCCAATCCCCCCAGGTGCCACAGATTCACGGAGCTGGGAGGGGCCACTTGGGCCACCACCTACTGAGCACAGGACCCGCGCCAAAGCATCCCTGACTCTGCTCAAACTCCTCCAGCAACCACCTCGCCAGGTAGTTGGCTGCGTTTTCTCATGGCTCTAACCGCTGTGAATGGACAGATGTTCAGCCAAAATCTGCCACCTTGCAACTGCAGCCTGCACGATTCAGAACAAGTCTGCAACCCTCTTCTGAGCCACAACTCCTTAGATGCAAAATGCTGTCCTAACCCTTCTCAGTTTTCTCTGCTGGAGGCTAAACATACCCAGTCCCTTCAGTCTGCTTCACAGGACTTAGTTTCTGGTGTCCTGATCACCTTTGTTGCCCTTCCCAGAATTTGCTCCTCTTTATCTGAACCCTTAAGTGTGATGTCCAAACTGGGCACAGCGTTCAAGGTGCCACCTGGCCAGCACAGAGCAGAGTGGAACCATCATGTCCCATGGTTTAGAGATGATACATGGATGGATGCGACCGGAATGATGTTTGCCTTCTGTGCCTGCACTGGTCCACTTAGCTTCTCCCTCTCTACATAGATGGCTACTTCTGATTTTGGGATTTTCTTTGCCCACTGCTTTAGCTACCACTGGCAACCTCGGCTACATGTGGTAAGAAGGGACGGAGGACATGCCACAGCACTGCACTCTCTGCAGCCTCCACGAACCGTGCAAAGTAGGTTTTATTCACAAGTGCCAGAATAAGCTCATGCACGTTATTGTTGGGTTCTACCCTTTTGCCTTGTCCTAAAAATCTCCTTTTCGGTCTGTAAGGAACAGCCTTTTAATTGCTTGGCTGCTTTTGCGATATTTGCAGCAGTAGGAGCGCGTACCTTTCACTGAGGCTGTTCTCGTGCAGTTGTATAAAATGGCCAACTCCCCAAATGCTGTCCACACCGGAATCGATGAGAGAAGCTTGTTCTGCTGGAAGACCTCCAGTCTGCCTTCTGTGGAGAGAGAAAATATCCAAAAAGGTTGTTTAGTTATAATACAGATATTCACAGACCCAGATAAGTTTATTCCTTGCCTCAGCAAGACTCTTGTTAAAAACCTCCATCACTCTGTAAAAGAACCATACTTTTATTACAGTTGCTGCGGGTTTGTTTATGAGACATTATTACATTTATACCTCACCTTTCTTCCCCTTGCAAAGGACCCAAGGAAGCTTACAAGGTCCCCCTTCTTTTCATCTTCTCCTCACAACAACCCTGCGAGGTAAGTTATGTTACAAGATAATGACCAACACAAAGCCACCCTGTGATCTGCAGACCTGCCTGGAGATAGTGAGGGTCTGAGTCTGGAATGTCTTGCACTCAGGCCATGTGTGTGACCCCTGAGCAGCAGCGATGTCCACTCACTACAATGAGGGATGCAAAATCAAAGCTGGAGGCTTGAACTGAGCGTGAACACTCGGTTTGATATGCAGCCTCCAGATCCCTGGCAGAACACAGGCACTTTGCCCAACTTCCAAATGCTAATCAGGGCACACATTTACGGGCATCCCTTGAAAGCCTTGGTGCTACACCAGGAAATGGCCCTTCTCTGGCGCACGTCCAGCAAGACTGACCCTCCCCACCAATTCGACTGGAGAATGCACCATGTCTGTGCAATGGCAGGAGAGGGCCGTTTCCACAATAGATGCCACTGAACAAGAGAGTCGGGCAATCTAATAGCTTATCCAGCACTTTTGCATCTTTGGGCTTCTATGTGGGGCTACCGCTGAATAGTTTGGAAGCTGCAGCCTGTGCGAAGTGCAGCAGACAGAATGATAACGGGGGCCTGAACACCAATTCTGGCCCACCTGCCCTGGCTGCCTGCACATTCCCAAGCCTGAGTCAAGGGGCTATAAACCCTCACACAGCTTGGGACCACAAAACCTGATGGAGCATCTCTCCCAGTATGAACACACCCGCACACCATGTCCATCATCCAAGGCCCTCGCTGAGGGGCCTTCTCCAGGAAGGCTCAGAAGGCAGTTCCAAGGGCCTCCTCAGTGGTGGCTCCCACTTATGGAATAAGCCTCCCAACAAGACCCACCTGGTTCCAATACTGTAATCCTTTCGGTGCCAGATTACGATCTTCTCTCTGGCATTTGGCAGCACAGGGGGTGGTTTTTAATTTGATGCTGTTGTTGTATGTTTAAAATTGTTGCTAAAAACACGTGTGTGTCTCTGTGTTGTATGTTTATGTGTGTGTGTGCCTCTAGTTTTTATAAAATTTTTGTAATTTTCTTAACCGTTTTTAATCATTTTAAAGATACATTTAAATCATCGGAATCCACTATAGAGCTTCAGCTGTTGGGCAGCAGAGAAATGTGATCAATGAAATGAAAAGGAATGAACTTATGGATGAGCCCTGACAATTCAGAGCAGGAGAGAAAGAATAATGGCTAATAGATTATACAGCGCAGGGATCCAAGGGGTCCAAGCGCCTCTATGAACTTTAAACTCAGATTTCCAACAGATGCTGCAAGATCAATTACAACCTCTTTGCGAAAATTCTGCTTGGGGCAGTTTCTTTACCATGTTCTTATTGCTGTTAAAAATGGATTTCATTAGTCTTAGTAGTACTTGACTTCCTTTCTGGAGTCCAAATTTTATTTCTTGCAACAGTGAAAGGTGAAATTTCATGGGCCAGAGAGCTCTTGAACAAAGCGGTTCATTTTGTGTTGTAATTGCTCTGCCCAAGGTAAAGCCTTTGACAATGTCACAGCACACAGTCCACAAAACAGCTCTGGGAGGGTGAGGTTGGGGTGGGGGCTAAACACAGGATTATTGTTGCAGTGTTGGATGGTGTCAGTGCAAATCAGAGAGGAAGGGGCAGGTTTGCTCCGAATGCCACTTTCCCATGAGCCATTTCCTCCCAAGTATTGATTTCAGAGGCTTAATTAGGAGTAAGTCGATTCAGATATTGACTTCACTAGAACAATAGGTGTTTAAGTACACTGGAGGTCAAATGACACATGACGCCGGCAGTTGTACTATTTTAACCACATGCCTTGCATCGCACATGGTAGCAGAGCAATCCTATCGGCCCCAAACAGCATCGAAAGGACTATGGGATTTTGAGCTCTGAGGTCAGAAAACAACTCCAATCTCAGAGCTGGGCCTCTACATTCCAGGGTGCCTTTTCCAGCTCCGTGGCTGGCACAGGAAGAACCATGCTGGCTGCATCTCCAAGGTCATCAAGCGACCTCAGAGTTGAGAAGAGAGTGGAGGGCAGGGATGCGAAGAGACCGGGGCTGCCAGGAACCTGGCATCCTTTCCTCCTTGCCCAAGCCGCAGTCTTCAAGCTAACCCCCAGGCTCTCCTCCCGCCCTGTGTAGGGTGCTCATAATTCTCTAGGTTTGGAGGCTTCCGGGCTTCCCCAATGTTTTGTACCCTATGTGGTATTTCAGTGGACTGTGTGAAAGGGTCCTCCTTCCCACATTTCCTTCTGCAGAAGCCTGCAGAAACAGCTCCTGGCAGTGACCAGTGAGGGAGAAAAGAGATGAAGGTGGGTTTTCAGCGGGACCTTCAAAACCTCCCAATTTGAGCTGAGGAAGATATGGATTATTGGTTGCCAAAGGTCTGTGCAGCCCACCCAGAGGCTGAGAACGTAAGAACTATCTTACTGGATCAAAGGACCATCTGGCCAGCCATGTAACAGGTCCAGCAAGCTATTCAGTCAAAGCTTGATGGACAAAGATGTCCTGTGTTGGGACAAAAAAAGCAAAAAAGGCCTATGTTGGGAACAAGAAAAGCTGCATCCATCATACTTGTGAACAATTCTGGAAGGGGAGGGGGAAATGGCCTAGGAATGATAGGAGTTGCAGTCCAAAACATCTTGAAGCCACCAGATGAATGAAGCAATATGTAATTAAAACACTATAAATTATTACTATGAGTATGAAATAATTTTACATACAGTTGTCAGTAACAGATGCAAAAATGGCTTAAGGGTTTAAAATATTTAGCAGTATATAAACGATACAAACAAACAGGCAGAAATAATTAGCTGTGATTTTTAAGCAGAACCTCCATGTTCAGGAATATCATACAGTTGCTGGTGGTGGGAAGGAGAATGGGAATACCCAGGAGCCATCCAGCTGGCTCCTTTGGAAACTTCTTTCTGGAACAGATGGGTCTTGGTCTGATCCCAGCAGGGCTGGTCTTATGTTAATACAGCCTTTTCCAAACTGCTTTTCTCTCCGGACACTTTGGACTACCAATGTCCACCCGCCCCAGCCAACACTGCTCGTGGCCACACTCCAAAGTATTTACAAAGCACCAGGTCAGGGCAGCCTGCATGAACACTAAGTCTTCGGAGCGATGGGTATTTAAAGGTGTGACTTCAAAGGCTACTCACCTGCCAGCACAAATATGTGGTTGCCAGGCTCCCCCTGCTTGATTATGTAGCTCCCCTGCTGGTACGTCCTTCCATACATACATTCGACCATATCTCTGATCTGCTGCGGGTCCAGCCTTTTTAGAAATTGGTTTCTGCTCAGAGCATCTGTGATAAGCTTTTTCTCACTAGCATTCAGCAGATCAGAGAGAGAGAGGGAGAGAAAAGCAAGAAAGGCAAAGTCAGGTTCATTTGCAGCACATAAAAGACTTGCATTATTCACAATGGATTGCTCCATCATGGTATATTCATGGTCAAGTGTTCATGAAGCAAGGGACCTCAAGTGCTCGGCACACAGAAAGCTGCCATGTCCGTCCACCTAGCCTGCCGCTGTCCACTCTGACAAGCAGCAGCTCATCACAAACTCATTCGGCTTTGCCAGCTCCCTCACCCATTATCTTGGAAGAGCTGAACGGACCTGTCATAGACAGGACATTTCGAGGGCTTTTGTTCGTAAGTCAGAGACAGCTTGACAGCAGCTAGCAACAACATTACTATTAATGCATTGCATTTACAGCTTGCCTTTTTCGCTCTTCCGAGGAACCCCATAATCTTCCACTCCGTGTTATCCACACAACTATAAACCTGTGAGGTTAGATGGCTCGTGACTGGCCCCATCATCCAGAGAGCTTCATGGCTCAGGTGGGACCAGGACCCAGACTTTCCAAGTCTCCAGCCCACCCCTCTAACCACTCTTTCCTTTAAAGATGCTCCATGGATTGAACCCGGCAATATGGAGTGAGACAACTTCCATAAATCATTTCCACCACTCTATTTTTCCATTTAATACGTGTGTGCAGCCTTTAGTTTTTAAGCATGCCTGTTTCACAGAACCCTTTTTGAACTGGCTTGACTCCCAAGGAATTCCTGCTTCCTGAAGGGTGTTCCCAGTCTGTGTATGTCCCTGGCCAGGCTTTTGTACCTCCTGTCACTCGGCTGGGCTCAGGAGTGCCCCACTAAGACAGCATCCCCCAAGAGCAGGGAAGAGCCAAGAATGATTGGCAGGGAATCTCATCTGCCACAAGTTTGGTCCAGAGAATACAAGAACATGGAAAAGACATGCTGGTTCAGACCAAGGGGCCATCTAGTCCAGTATTCTGTTCACCCAGTGGAAAACTAGCTGCCCATGGGATCCTATCGGCAAGATATGAGTGCAAGAGTACTCTCCTGCCCAAGTTCCACACTGCCACAAGGGCCGAGAGTGTGTTGTTGCTGAATCATCGATTACAATTGAAACACCAGTTGCAGTGTTGTGAAAACCGAGCTGCACCAGCAAGCCATGGCCATGAACAACCTGTGAAGAGAATCCATGGTTTGTGGTTGAGTTGAGAACCATGGGTTGCTCACCATGGTTTGCTATTTTGGCTGGGTTCAGACAATAACCCACAATACAACAACAAAGCACAGTTCAATGGCAACCCATACCCACACTCAACCTCTGACCGAATTATTGGCTGAGTTTCAGCAACATGACAAGCCACAGTGTATGTTTTTTTTTTAACCATTGTTGGTCCATCCAAGCCCAGTCATGTTATTTCATCATGGTAAGTTTGATCTTTAGAAACTAGGATAAGAAACAGTGGTTTGTTCTATGGTTTTTCCATACCACCATGGCTTGTCATGTTGATTGAGCCAAGCATACTAGGCAACTACCATGGTGTTCCGGGAAAGAACGTCAACTGCAGCAGCTGCTCTGGGATTGGCTTTTAGGTGCAGTGGCTGATGGGATGCATGCCAACAGTAGGAGAAAGAGCAGGGAGAATGGAAACCACAGTAACACAAAAACCACTTGATTGTCTGCCATTTAGGTTACGGTGAAATCTCCCCATGAACTGTGGTAACCAAGCTGGCCTGCTTGTCATGTTTGTGAACCCAGCCATAGTGTGGTGATCATGCCCACTTTCTGGGAATGATGAGCTGCAGTCCAACACATCCAGAGGGTACCCAGTGGAAGAGGACTAGTGCAAACACATGCCGGATTAGATGGCCTGACAGTCTGACCTACAGCATAGCGTCTTTCTATAGCCCTACAAACCTTGCTGTACTCCCAAGCCCCACTCATGATTTTATTAAGCAAGGGTGGAAATTTAGAACTGCCTGATAAATTCGACATATGGCATATTTCACCAAGAGAGAAACATGTTCCACATCAGCGACATATTTATTCAATATGGTGCATCACCTGCTTCACAGACACAAATTCTGTGATCATTTGCACAAGGAACATTTGCCTATCAGAGATGCCTATCCTATCCCCAGTCTTTTGGGGCCTATAAGCAGATTTTAAGCTGTGAAACCGTATGCTGGGAACCACCACAAATTAGCTGCTGAGAGGGTGCAAATCACAAAAACATTGGCATGACTTCCCACTACCTTGTGCATAAATTAATCTGAATAGGGAACAAAATGCCCCTGCCAGAAAACCCCAAAACCAATCATCTGTTGGAAGAGGGCATAAATCCAGCCCTTCAAAAGACTTTTGCCTTGGAATTCTTTGGTGGGCGGTGGCTTTTGTCCTTCCCTGATAGTCTTTCAACTGGCCAGCTTTCTTTCCTACATGCAATGAGGAATGAGGGATGACTGATTTGCAGAGGGCAAAAACAGTCAACACCTCAGAAGACATACCTATTTTTAATCATACCATTTAATTTCAAAATAGCATTAACAAAACAAGAGCAACAAAAAAGGAACATGCATAATAATATATCCAAATCACTAAAGAAGCAAAGGAATTCACTCATTATAATTCTTAGAACATAAAATATGCTTATAGTACATCTACAGAAAAACAGCCTAGGTGGAATCTCCCTTGTGAATGGAAGGGTAAAAATTCAGTTTATACTGTAGATACTCCTTTCATAAGCATGAATGTGTGCTATTTTATGGGAATTATTCATGGAAAACACATACTTGGAAGGAATCTGGTCCAAGTTTGGAGGGCTTTAACATAGGAAATAAGTGGAAATCATGGTGCCGTAGCTGAACTAAGGAACGGGCTATACGTTCAGGAGCCTCACAGCTCAGGAACTGATTTTCCATACAAGAAATCCATTCCTAGTCCTGCAACCCCCTTAAGCAGCCTGATTTTGGCACAGGGGCTAAAGGGAGAGTGCAACTATGGTTAAAGAAAAAGTCAGATCTACTGTAAATCACCCAGAACTCCACCACTAGTTCCCCATCTACCTGCTGCCCAGCCCTACCCCAAAGTAACTCAGGGCACAGCTATTTAGGCAGCAAAGAGCCCTACATCCCTAAGCAGTCCTCAGACAGCCACGCTGGGAGCTGCAGGGCTTTTTTCAGGCTATCCTAACAAATAAACAAACATGCATAATGTTGCACCCCAAGGGTCTCTCAAAAGGGGGGCAGAGAAACAGGTATGCACATTCAGGGTCGAAGTGCAGTGTGCAAGAAGGGAAGCTGCTCCCCAAGGCAGCCATCATTCAAATTGCTCCCTGGAGACAGCATCTCAGATGCCAGCAGACTAACCACTTAAACTGGGGGCTGCCCTTCTCATTATGACAGACGCCCAGAGCTAGGAAGCAAAGGCAATTCCAGAATGGGGCATGGGGTGGGACAGAAAAGGAGGACCGTGTGTTTGAAGACGAATCCAGGAATACCAGAAGGCGCATAACAGAAAATGATGGAAATTAAAGATAAACTGTTGTTACTGCGATTTTAAGGGACCATCAGAAAATTGCATTTTAGTGCCTCCGTCATGGGGTGCCTGGAAGAGAATTCAGGCAGGACAGCTGCTGAGGCTGCAATTTGCGAACGGCAGGATTTGGGTCAAGAGGCACTGTTCCATCAGAATGCAATAAAGTTCTAAACCTGATGGCAGATTCACAGACATTGCCGATGCTTTAACCAAATTAGCAGTACATTGCTCTGGCCATGTTTTCATCCATGCCAAAGCCACAATGCTTCTGTATTCTTTCACTCTTTTAAGCTTTGCGGAGCAAACCAGCTCCTGTGCTCTCAAAAAACCTCAGAACCCCCCAGTGGAGATCAGACAAAAGGTTCAGCTTCAGTCCTGTTTCCCACAACAACCCATGAGATGCCTCCGAAAAACCCACAACTGAGGCACAGCTACAAGTGTGTTGTCAATCCCGACAGCTGGGAGTCAGGGGCACCGAACACCAAGGGTTGGCTGCTCCCAGTCTTCAAGGCCCTTCTGCCCGAACCCATCGAGGCTTCGGCAAGGGGCAGCATAGAAATGTTCTAATCATCATCATCATCATCATCTAATCTGTTCTGCAGCCATCTATCAGTGGCCACTCACTCCCGCGGCAGCACATTCCCAGAGCAGGCGATGCCATGAAAAAGCAGCTCCTCCTTCCTGTTTCCTGGATCATCTCCTGCTCTGTATCACCGGATAATGCTGAGCTCTGCTATTATTCACAGTATTCCCCCTGCTTCTCAGATAAAAAAGGCTTCCAGCAGGGCTTAAAAAGAAGGCAGTCTCCATCCCCAGATATACATTCTAAAAGACAAGGCACCAAAGGAGTAGGGATTGGGAGGGTGGGGACCCAACAAAAACACATTCATTATGAGAGATGAAGAAAAGTAGCTTCTCGACTTTTTCTTCACACCATGCATGATTTCATAAACCCAGCACGTCCCTTTTAGCCATCATTTTCCCAGTGTAGCCTTTCCTTGAAAGGAAAACTTGCTAGATCATTTTCATTGCCCTGCAACGAATTCCTTCTGCCTGCTTCAGTTGCAGCCCTCGATGCCCTATGAAGCACACAACCTGTGATACCTTTCGATGGGAACATTAAACCAGCCTTCCCAAGTGGGTGGCCTTCAGTGCCATTTGGACCACAACTCCCAGAATTCCCATCCAGCAGGGCAATTGACTAGGATTTCTGGATGTTGCAGTCCAAACGTGTCTGAAAGGCACAAGGTTGGAGAAGGCTGCATGAAACCATCTTCTTCACTTCTTTGCTGATGAGCATCTCAGAATCCATTACCAGCTTTTGCCCCTGGAACTGCATGTGGTCCTTATTGCCAGAGAGCTGATCTCTCCAATGAAGCAAAGATTCCCAGAGAACCAGGCTCCACAGGAAGATCTCTGATGAACATCCCAAAAAGTGAATGATCACTTCCCTTTGTCCTGCTTGATTGATTA